TAAGAAAAATTTAAGCTGCAGTAGAGTAATGAGCAGTATTTAGATGTACACATAGAATATTTTGATTTAATTCACAACAGATTGGTAGTTGTTAATGTGTAGGGATTATTTTGCCCTGAGTGAACTTACTTTTTCACTACTTATATATTTTCTGGTTCAGTGTGTGTCTAGACTGGTTTTGTTTTCGGGGCGTGAGTTGTTTTTTAACTTTCTTTTAAATAAACGTTAAGGTGCTTGCTGTAGCTCATCAGGTACCTGAACTACTGGTCTGCTTCCTTGTATAGAGTCAGCTGGACTCTAATTGGCCATTTGAATAGATACCTACCCTAGCACAGTGTGGGTCAGTGGAAAAAGACCCTTCAGCTTTAGTACTCTGTTCACTAGCAGTCTTTAATGTCCTGAATGGGTGGGAAGCTTTTTACCTGTGAGTTAATGTGCCTGTTTTAGCAAGCTTAATTCCTACTAGATCAATGTGGGCAGAGGGTGAGGGCGTTCTTATCAATTATGCTGACACCACTAAATTTTTGTATCAAAGAACTGTATCTTTTTGTGAATACTCATGTAAATATACTCAAAGGCATTGTCCATATTTTTAAGGCGTGTATTATATAATCTGTAAGATTTACGCTGGATTCTGCATGACTGTACTCACTCTTGGAACAAAGACAAGACTTGTTCTTCTTTCCAAAATGAGCAGTCTTCACAGAGGAAGACAGGTTTATTGGCTCAGCTGTAAAGTAGTAGGCGTCATCCCACTGATCATGAGGTGGAACAGGTTTTGTGCAAATTAATGTAGTTTCTTATTTATTGCTTTTGTAAATTGAATAAAAATGGGCCTTTATGTAAATAGACTGTGGGATCCTATATTATCAACTACTAAAAATTGGTTTGTAAATTCTTTATTGTAAAGTAAAAATATTTTATGTATTTCTAGACATGACTTAAATTTTAGTTTTCATACATTATGAAAGCAGAACTACATATTCAGTTGCTTCAGACTAAACGCATACCCAGCATATGTAATTCAATTATTAATAACAGTATTAATTTAGATAGCTTATTTGTACTGTGCAATTTGAACAAGGAATGCAATGTTATTTTTTATAAAATCTTGTTTATTTTTATAACAACGATGTATTTGATGTGGACCAAATTCGTACCACCATATAAAACAGTGTCTCTTATAGTGCAGATATACCTTAGGAATGGCTTTCAGCCTCTACTCCTGTCTTTTAAAGTAAAGAGATAGACTAGGTCCTCTTAGGCAGTGTTCTTTAGAGGGAACCTCAGAAATATTTTGAAATTACTTCAACTTTCACCAACTATTTAAAATTATTGAATTTGGTAATTACTGTTATTTACTTTCTACAGTAGAAGTGCAATAATTTTACATAATAAAATTCCTGAATGGATAAAATATGTTACTATTGGTACCTGGTCCTTCTGGTGCTACTTTTATTTAAGTTGTTGTATCAAACCACCACCTTGTTCTGAATTTCTTACATAAGTAGATGCAGTGCAGCCAAAAAAAAAAAAAAAAAGGAACTAAACTGAAATTTTTTTCTGTCCCATTCCACTGGGGAAAAGAGCCAGCATTTCTTTTGTATTTAGCCAATTTCTAGTGTGACTATGTAGTTGATAAAAACAGTTTACCATTGTAGGCAGCAGTGGTCTTTTCAGATGTCTTAAATGGCTGCTGCTGAGTTAGTCTCACATTTGTTGGTGATGGGGCAGTGTTAAGGATTGAGCATAGGGCCTTCCACATGCTAACCAAGTGTTTCACCACCAGAAGTTACATCCCAACTGCCCCCTCTTTTTCTTTCTCCTTTTTTCTTTTGAGCCAGAGTCTTGGTGAAGATGGACACCGATTTGTAGCTCCTTCCCAGCAGCTCCGGTAGCTAGGCTTTTATAGCCGCATGCTGCCGCGCCCAGTCATCTCACCACCACTCACAATCTTAAAAGCAGGGTCCGGGTTACTGTTACTCCTGTGGCTTGGGCTGGGAAAGAGTCTTTGATAAAACAGATAGTGTCTAATTAGTAGAACTAGGAAACCCTCCAGGCAAGAAATTTGGCAAGCTTAAGAAAATTATTTCTTGGTTAGTTATACACTTTAAAAAAATTGTTTTGCTGTATTGTTTAGTTCAAACCATATCAATTGTATAAGCCATGTCTTTAATGAACTTAACTATTTGGCGTAACTCTTTGAAATTAATATATACGGTCAAATTTCTTGCTGATACCAAAACAAATCATTTGGGTATAAAACAACCTCTGCTTTGTGATTAAAGTCACTGCTGCTTCTGTAACATGCGCACCCCCCCCCCATCCTTGGTAAAGGGTAATAAAACTATTACACAAACTTGTGTTTATCTCACATTAACTGCAAAAAAGCTCTATGTATTAAATATCACAAAAAATTTTTTACTTTGCAGTCCCACCTCTTATTCTCCTGAATGAAATACCTAGAAGTTCAAATGTATTTAAAATGTTTATATGTAGATACAGAGAGGGAACATGCTTTCAACATTTTTCATGTATCTCCGTTTTTTTTTTTTAAAGCTGAATGTGCTGTTTTGTGGATGTTTACTGTCCGTTTAAAGGTTACAGTTTGGGTTTTATCGACTTCAGTTTGTAACACTATAAACATTCACATAGGAATTCTCCCTTGCCTGCCTTGCCTTCCAACATTTCAGTTACCCAGTCAACCAATTTCCAAAAGGTACCAAGCGTAACATATAGACATTAACAGTTTCTAAGTTTTAAATAGGTTTTATTATACCACAGTTACACCTGTTGGTTACTGTGCCTAGTTCCTAACTTTTATTATGGGTGTACATATTGAGGAAAAGTATGATGTAACACATATCAGTGGTTTCGGGAACCCCATTGAAGGTATTGGACCATATCTCCATGAATAAAGAAAGGACTGGGGAACCAGGCTTTTCTGTATCAATCTAGAAGTGGAATTGCTGGATTATGATATAGTGACTATGTCCTTAAGGAAATACCAAACTCAATATGCAAGAGTAACCACACTACAGGTCCCATTAGCTGCGAATGAAGGCTCCAAGCTTCTGCTACCTATACTTACTCATCTTAATCAGTCTTTCCAGATCTGCATGAAAATGGCTTATGTGAGCCAGGCGCAGTGGCGAAGACCTATAATCCCAGCACTCGGAGAGGAAGAGGCAGACGGATCTCTGTAAGTTCGAGGCCAGCATGGTCTACAAATTGAATCCAGGACCGCCAAGGCTACACAGAGAAATCCTGTCTTGAAAAAACCAAAAAAGAAAGAAAATGGCTTATGTGTATCTTCTTACATGGTTTTTAGACCAAACTGAAAGATCAATTTTATCTTTGATTTGCCAGCAATTTTATATATGAACTATATATGAATATATAAAATATATTTTATATATTTTGGATACTAGGCCTACCCAAGTTTGATTGGTGTTTTCTCATTTTTTCTGACTTTTCCTCCTTGATATACTTTTGGAACACAGCTTTTTATGTTGATGGGAGTCCAATTTATCCTTATTGCTTGAGCTTGTTTGTCATAGCTAGGAAACCACTGTTTAACCCAAGTTTATGAATATTTATGCCTGTGCTTTATAGTTGTAGCTCAAACATTTAGCCCCATTTTAAGTTAATTTTTTTATATTTAAAGGACTCTAACTTTACTCTTTTCCATATATGGATACTCAATTGTCAAGTACAATTTATGAAAAGATATTTCTTCCACCGAACTGTCAAAAACAGACTATAAACGTGTGGTCTTGTTTCTGGGCAATTCTTGCTTTGTAGGAAGCTCTGGAAGTCCAAGCATGTCATTCATCTCAAGGTTGTTTCAGCTATTCTAGGATACCTGTGGTTGCATATGAATTTAGGATCAGCTTTTCAGTGTGCATACCCTCAAACTGGACTTGTGCAGGGATTGTTTGCAATGTGTAAACAAAGCTGTTTGAAGAATGCAGTCCTTTTCAGTATCATGATCCCAATCCATGAATGTGTCATTTTCTTCAGCAATATCTTGTAGTTTTTCCTTTTTATTCTTCTTGGTATTCTTATAAATGGAATGCTTAATTTCACCTTTGGATTTTTTTTTTCCACATAGATGGTCATGTCATTTACAACCAGGTATAATTTTAACTCATTTAACTGTCATTTCTTGCCAGATTGCCCTAGCTGGAGCCACCAGAATGATGATCATTAGGAGTGGCAGTTACAGACATTTTTGTCTTCTTCCTGTCTTAAGTGAAAGCTTTCAGTTTTACTGTTAAGTATGATGCTCTGGGTTCCAGCTAATGACCTTTCCAGATAGATAGAAGAACTCTCCTTCTGAGATGGTCATTGGATTGTTTATTCTGTTTGTGTGGTCCATTTCACTGATCCCACTTGATAATCAAGTATATTTTTTAAAGTTCAATATAATGAGGCACATGTGCATTGTGACTTTATTGGCCCTAAAAGGAGAACAACAAATGTTTTGTTTTGAACTGCTGGGAAGGAATCCCCTCAGAAAACTAAAAGAGCTTGGAGAAATGTCTGGGCTTTGTCCTGTTGAGAGCCTTCCCTTGGGTGATGAGAATTCCCTATAGGTCATGGGCTGCAGTAGTTTCTTTTTCTGTTCTTACCCCTAGCCCCAGTTTTATAATAATAATAATAATAATAATAATAATGTTTATACCTTTTTGTGGTTTCCTCTCCCATTGGAGAAAAAGTAAGCCTAAATACACTCAGGATTTTACCATTTGGTAAACATGTTCTTTTTATCTCTATGAAATTCAGATGTACCATTTCATTCCAGGTAAGGTTCTAGGAGAAGTGAGTATTTCCTTCTTGAATATTTTGTTCATACCACTTACTAAAACAGCAGTTCTACGTAAGCCATGTAGCTCATTGTAAAGGTTTTTTGTTTTGTTTTGTTTTTTAATGTAAGAACACTAGGGATAAAATAGTTTTGAAATATGGAGACAGAATAAAAGCAGTTGTAAAAGATCCACTTTTTACAACCAGTATGTTAAAAAGTTTATTTTAGTAACATTGTAAGGCAACAGTTAACCCTCAACAAGTCAGCAAAACAGTGAGAAAAAGATGGACAAACATGTTCTTCAGTGGCTTCCTGAGTCGTGTAGGCTGGCTTGTGGCCCAACCTCCTTCAGAGTTAAACCTTGGGGCAGAATCCTAGACATTTAATTATAGCTACAAAACTGTAGAAACACTTCATAGAACAATCTTTCTTAAAAACTAAGAACTGTGAAATCACAATTCTTTATACTTCTCCCTAATGTGCTGCTTATATTCACACTCATTAGGGGGAAAATGCATCACTGAGACCTTGAAAATATCTTTTTAGAAGTGAATTATACAAGTCATCAGATAATTTTTAAAAGGGGATGGGATACTGATAACTACAGATGTGTGCTTAATAAAAGCCATGAATACTGTGTGTAATTACTTGACCATTTCTGGCCCTTAAGCGTGCCCTGAAACTAACTGAGCATCTTGTTACTGATGCATAATAATGTTAAAGAAAATCAAAATTATTTGCATAGAGAAATAACCCAAAGATAAACAGAAAACCATGATTAATTACACTAAAATGGCATCCGGCCAAAAGAAACGATATCAGAGAACATCTTGTTTTTTTATGTGCTACCTCAGAATGACATTTTGCTACCTTCCCCCATAATTTCTAGTGATCAAATTCAGATTAACCCAGGTACAAAACATAATCCTGTATTTTGGAATTCATTGAGCTATTGGTATTGTTATTTTCCTCAGCTGTGGTTCTGTACAAGCTATATATAACCCTCAAACCTTTAAGTAATCCCTGACAGATAATGTGCGCATAGCAGAAGCCAGACACCTGAAGCACTGATAAGATCTCTCTAAGTCCAGCAAAAAAGTGACTCCACTGCACAGTGTCGGTACCTGTGACGGTCAGCGTGTTAGCGTCAGCTTGCTGCAGCCCCACATCTGCACGGGCCAAGTTAGAGATGAGGCAGGCAGTACAAGGAACATGATTAAGAAACTGACAAGTATCACACAAGCAGTTTTAAGGTTTCTCCTGCAGTCCACACTTGACTCGCTGAAGCTCACATGGTTCTGACCCGTTCCTGTTCCCACCTGACAAGTATTTTGTTCTGTTTTTGCTTTACTATGGCTTTTCTTTCAACTATATTTTGGGTCGTGCTTGTTGGCTAACTCAGAGTTTGCCTTTTTACATTTATTACTGTAAAAAGGAAATTAGCATAAGTTGCTGCTTTTCTCATTATGTTTGTCTCTGCTGGAACCTGGAGAAGCTGCAAGAGGCACTGCCATGACATACGTCACAAGCTCCATCCCCGTCTTCAAATGAAAAGCACCATAAGTCTTACTGCTGCCTGTATGCAGGGTCTGAACAGTAACAGATACAGTACAGTTGTCTCAGTCTTTCGTAAGCCACAAGCTCATGTCAGAACAGCTGGTCTCACTCTAAGAACTTACTCACCTGCTAAAAAAAAAAACAGAAAACCCAGTGCAGCAATAAAATTATGTTCTAAAGGACTAACTTTGTATAACAGGATTCCTATATAACAAAGAGAATAGATAGTATAAATGCCCAATACTCCTAACCCTCTTCCTCTTCCACCTCAGAATGCTGTCAACTCAGTGCTCTGGGAAAGAAATTTAGGTCCTGTGCTTGCACAATCCATGCAACATAAGAAGGAAATGTAGCTGAAGACATGTTCTCTTCCCCAGGTAAATGACAGGAACACATTCAAGGGGAAAACAGACACAGTACTACCTCAGGAAAGCAGCAGCTTCCATGACAAGGAGTCAGGCCCAGGGCCCTGCACCAGCATTTAGGTGGCAGAACAGACTAACACCCTTACGGCTGCTCTCAGGGCCCCTAAGGTGCTGCACCGCTTCCATCTTCACGGCATTTACTTTACAGTGGCGCACGGAGAGGCACTACTCCACTGAATGGTATTTTGCCCGCCACCCACTGACATCAGGTGGACTCACCTAGTTCATTAACAGTGGCCTAAGAGTCTACGTCTTTCTTGATCCTCAAAGAAAAGCTACTGAAGTGGTATGTTTCTGAGTCCTTATAGTCATATAAATGACATGTATGAATGGCAGTATCTACGTGTGCTTAAGTGCCAGAAAATGAATTTTCTGAAGGCCAGCCATCACTATCCCAAAGTTTACCCATACGGTACACTTGGCCCTGAAGAGTGTTAGCCCAAAAACTCTTTGAACGTATGCTCATTAAAATTCATTGACTTGTGTTACAAACATCCATGGACCATGGGAGAGAAACTGCCCTGTGGACTGTCCAAGGGGCATGTCCTCAAAGCTCATCCACAGATTAAAACACAAAGAGACTATAGGTGCAAACCCACGCAGAGGGAAATGACCAATCCGGGAACTTCTCCTTCAGGGCATCCAGCTGAGAAGATGTCTTGTCCTCCCCAGATAGGTAGTGAGCGGCAATGGCCACAGTGACCATTCCTTCCGGCTGTTCTTCTGAGACCTGATGGAGAAAAATCAGTTAGTTCTCTGAAGCCAGAACACTGTGAACTCTTTAAGATTGTTAAGTACCATCTTGGAGCCTGGAAAAGTCCCACCTGCACTTCTATCCAGAACTGCCATGCAGAGGCCTGGAGTCCATGGGAGTAAAACACAAAGTAGTCCCCTCCTCTGCTTGTGACTGGAGTGCCGTTGCCAAGAGACCACTGCGAAAGCTTTGCTCCTTTGTGGCTTCGAACGTAGAAAGACATATGGCTTGGTCCTGTAAGAGGATCATTTCATTCAGTTAGCAGTGACAGTCACCTTTAACACCCAAACCATACTGCTGAGCGATGGACTCTACACAACGCTCAAGGAGGTTTAACAGTTTGGATGTCAGTATCATCAGCAACAAGGTTAATGAGAGGACAGAGGGCAGACTCTAAATGAGAAAAGTAACTTGGTAACTGCTGGTGGAATTTACTTAATCTCCAGTCCCTCCCCACCTCCAGAAAAGGCTGAAAGAAACACTGAAAGGTAATCTGACTGTAGTGAGTTCCTTAAGGCTCTCAGTGTTTGGACTAAGGTAACTGATCAACCTGATTTAAACCCACTATTTACATGTTATCAGAAAAGTCTAGGATAGCGTTTGGCCAAATGTCAAGGTACTACAGTCTAGACAAATTGATACAAAGTTAACTATCACATTGCCTATTAGATTTATGCCAAAGATCCAAAATGCTTGCTAAGAAGTCTGGAGTCATTCTGCAAGCAGCAGAACTTCACTGCATTTTCTTAAGGTGAGAAGTGACAATCAAATGCAGTTAGAAGATCAGCTGGCAGCACTATGAGGGGAATCCTAGGACAAGAAGTAAAGGCAAAACACTAATTGGGATCTGGAAAAGCTACAGTTTTAAACATGTAAAGATAAACAGAATGTACCAAGAAAATAAGTTTTCAGGTGAATGCAGATCTGTTTGACAATGAGCTGTATCTAAGACTTTCAGAAAAGCCTTTTAAAAATCAACCAGGCTAGGCAGTGGTGGCACACACACCATTATTCCCAGCACTCAGGAGGCAGAGGCAAGTGGATCCCTGAGTTCAAGGGCAGCCTGGTCTACAGAGGGAATCCCACGAGAGCGGCCAGGGCTACACCAAGAAACCCTGTCTCCAAAGAAAGTGTCATAACCAGAGCACACTCCAGTAATCAATCCCTCAGGAGACTAAAACATAACAAGTTTGAAGCTAATTTGTCTCCTCCCTGCCACCCCCCAAAAAGCCTAAATAAGCTCTATCATCTTAAATTTGAGGGGAACCATATGCAGCTTATTAAAAGGCTTAAGAAGCAAATATCACAGGACTTGCCTGTGGCTTCTGAGGCCAACTGCATGTACTCAAGGGGGGTGGACTTAGAAGAAAACAGACATACTGCAAGTCCACAGCAACCACTAAAATAAGTTTAATCTGGGGCTAGAGAGATTTCAGCTGTTAAGAGCACCTGCTGCTCACTATATCACCTGGCTAGCCTAGAGTTCCATATGTAGAGCAGGCTGTCCTTGAAAACACAAGATTTGATTGCCTCCACCTCCAAATTGCTATATTGAAGGTATGAACAACCACACCCAGCCTGATTTTAATTGCCTATAAAAATGGAGTTTCTTTTATTCAAATCTGAAAATTATATTTGACTATATTTTATTGCTTATGTCTGGGTGAAAAAAATGACACTGGGAAAGAAAGGAAGAATTAAAATCATTTTATTATGAAATGGTTGCCCAAGTGTGGTAACCTATATATAGCCCCATTTCTGCTGAGGCAGAGGCAGAAGAATCACAAGCTGAGGCAAGACAGAGCTATAGAGCAAGACCCTGACTCAAGCAAAACAAAGGTATACCCACCAAGCAGCATAGTTTGCAAACAACAGTTTGGAAGTAAAATTGTAATAGTTGCAGATACACATTTCAAACTCGGAGCAGTCACTAGAAAAACTACAGCAGGGCTAGAGAGATGGCTCAGCAGTTAATACTTGTTGCCTTTCCTGAGGATCAGAGTTTAGTAGTAATTAAAAATTAGCAGTAATCAAAAGAAAGCTTTGAAGAGCTACAATTGACTCTAGAGCAAGGAAATTTTTCACCGGTGAAAAGGTATGACATAAGGTCAAAAAAGTAGTGTATATCTATAAGATACACCAACAACAACACCTGAAATATATGTACCTAACAGCAAAGCCTGAATATAAGTGAGACAAAAACTCACACCTGAAAAGTAGACCCGCGTGAGTCACAGAATGTCCAGTTAACAGTAGCAGCTTACGAGGAGCAGTAATTACCCAAGCCTCCACATCCTCATATTTAAGAGTAGAAATCATGAAAACTGTGTTTTACCTCAAAATGAGCTTACACAAACAGAAAATTGGTATAGAAAAGAGGCTGGGAAATCTTGGTTCTTTGAAAACTGAAGAACACATGTCTGATAACAAATGGGTCAGTTTACAAGTCTCAAGGGCTGGGATGGAGGTCAGTGGTACAGCACTTGCCTTGCATGGGTAAGGTAACAGAAAGGGTTTTGTTTTGCTTTAGCATTTTGAAATAAACACTAAAACACAACTTAAAATTTGTAGGATCTAGAGCCAGCTTCATTAGGCCATAGCACCTTATGTGATGTGTAAGTGGTGCCAAGTACAGGCTCAAGGGAAACTTAGCAACAGTGAAAGGTTTCTGAATATGCAACAACCAAAAATTCAAAATCAAACACTGTGATAGTCTGAACGTGAGTGGCTCCCATCGGCTTGTATTTGTATGTGAATGCTTGGTCCCCAGTTTGTAGAACTGTTTGGTGGCGTGGCTTGTTGGAGAAGGGCAGGCTCTGAGGTTTCAAGAGCCCACACCATTCCTACTTAGCCACTCCCTGCTTTATGCTTGTGGATCAAAATATAAGCTCTGAGCTACTGCTTCTGAACCATGCCTCACCCTCTTCCACCTCATGATGGTCATGGACTCTACCCTCTGGAACTGTGAGCCCCAACAAATGCTGTATTTGATATGCTGTCTTAGCACAACAACAAAAAATAATTAAAACAAACATAACGAATCCGAGCTATTTTTAGAAGCCTTCGCCCAAGATGCATGCCGTGACTTCCACAGCCTTGGATCTGTACACACAACGTGAATGTTTTGTACTGCTTGTGCAATGCCATAAAATGCTGCTTGAAATACTAGCTTAGATTTGATATCCATTGGGTTTTGAATTAACATTTATACTCTCCATACAAAATTTTCTTCTAAGAAATATTAGCCCTACACTTCTAGTATTTTTCACTTTCATCAGCATGTAAGTATCAAATCTGAGTACCTTTGAATTAGAATATATTAGACTTTAGTTTTCAGACTTGATGTTTGAGTTCCAGACAAGTTTCATTTAGAGTTAAATGAATTTTGTCTTGGGATTAGGACAAAATTTTACAATTTCTGAAATGGCCCTAACATACATGTGCCATTTTGTACTACATATTTATTCAGAGTAGCATCTCAGCATCAGTGATCTATAGCCCTATGTAAAAAATCAACAAGCACATCCATCAGCAGTGTCTAAACATGCATTTGTCTTTAACAACTGGTAAAATTATGTGTATACCAAAGAACTATATTAAAATAAATTTCTCTGACTTATTCAGTAAATGTTTGATTTGTATACCTATTTTATAGCCCAGGAACCACATAAAAATTTCTCAGGTGTAAAAATTTGCAAATGTCAAAATTTTAAGAAACCTTGACTAAGAACATAAACAATATTCAAAAGGAAATTTTTAGCAGTAAAACCATATATTAGGAGTAACAATCTAAATGGGGTAATTTAAGCTTCTACTTTAATAGGGAAGAAAAAAGTAAATTAAAAAAAAAAAACCAAGTAAAACCAAAAAAAAAGGAATCTAGAGTAGAACTCAAAGGAGAATAGCGACTAAACCAAAAGCTGATGGGGAGGGGGAAATGAACAAACTTGATAAACTTTAAACTGTACTTTCTTGCATAAGGTTTTTATCATCCTAAAACAGTTCTAACCAAAAAAATATATCATTTTTCTTCAAGAAATAACTTTCAGTTGCTATTTGAAATACTGTAAGTTCAAAGTGACACCATACACAGCGCCGGCACTCAGGAGGCTGCGGCAGGAAGAGCATGCCTCATAGGGCAGCCTGAGCTCTACGGTGAGACTTCTCCATCAGCCAACAGATAGATAAACAAATGCTGCTCTGACATGCTGGACGGGAAGACATACATGGCAACTTACTGAAAAGCTTAGAAAGTGAACTAAGAAGAAACTGGCTCACCTGTTGCTTCAAAGGTCAGCTTTATAGACTCCCATGGTGTCTTCTCTTTAGATAGAAGTCTGAAATGAGCAGGATTTCTTGGAGAAATTTCTGGAGCTGGCAGATACCAATTTTTCCTATTGGAAAGGTAGTGTTAATGTTTAGGATGCTTCATAAAGTGTAATCCATAACTCACAGAGCAGTTCAGAACACACAAAGGGGTATGAAAACACCTGCTGAATATGACACGGTGCCAGCTCCTCTGATGTCCAGGTTGTGTAACAAATCCTTCTCAACTTTTTAAGCTCAAAGAAGCTAAGGGTTGGAGAGATAGCTCAGCAGTTGAGAGCCCAGGCTATGCTTGCAGAGGACCCAGGTTCGCTTCCCAGCATCTCATGTCAGCTCACAGCCACCTGGAACTCCAGGACCAGAGAGTCAGCGCTCTCTTACAGCCTCCACAGGCAAAAGGCACACACACTGTGCACATAAGTACAGGGCAACCATACATAAACATGAAATTAAATCTTTTTGAAAGGACAGGAACTACCTAGGCAATTCCACTCCCCATCCCATTTCTGAGGAATCCTGAAATGGCACCTGTAAGAGCATCTCCAGCTGGGATGAAGCAGTAACTGTTGTTTGTATTATACTAAGGAGTGTCACCCTTTCTAACCACTACTCTTTCTTGAAAAGAGACTTCTTAAAATTAAAATCAAGAACTATTCTCCTGAGATCATCATCTGACTAAAGAAATGGAAATTTTGTAGTAATATTACAAACTGCACTTGACTGAGGTAAGGATAAGTTTCAATTAATAAGAATCGAGACACAATGATAGAATTTGGGAACTAACCCCCAACTTAAAAAGTAGTGAACCAACCTGATCAGAAAGTGTACTGGAAGATACCAAGGGAAGCCACAGAGTGGGGCATTCTCCTCACAGTGAGCTCGGATGGTATCATTGATCTCAGGAATGTGAGGTGTTACATGAGACATTCCAGTATAATCAAACCCATTGATCCATATTCCAGAGTCTCTTTTTACTACGTTTCCTTCCAAGTTATGAAAAGTTCTACTCATGTGCTGAAAAGAAAAAGACTAATAATAAGAAAACTGTTTCGGCTAGTTCACCCACATTCCTAGCCCAGGTTAATCAAAATAAAAAGACCATTCCAAGAATTGATTAGAAACAGGAAAATAAAAAGGAGACTTAATAATTACTAAGTTACTGTTGGTGGGTTTTTTTCCTTTTAAACTAGATGACAGATATGTCAATGATTTTTATTTTAATCACAAATATAGCTGAATGCACATTTAAAATATTTATGAAACGTGGTCAAGGGCAGTGTATATGCTTGTAGTTGCAATTGCTCAGAGGTGTAAGTGGAGCGTCAAGCCCAGGAGTTGAAAGCAAATCTAGGTAATAGTGTAAGAGTTTGTCTCAGAAACAAAAGGCGCTGGAGAGACAGCTCAGTGGTTAAGAGCACACACTGCTTGCTGCTCTTTCAGAGGACCCTGATTCAACTCCCATCACCCACCTCGGGTGGCTCATAAGAACCTGTAACTCCCACTCCAGGGAATCGCTGCCTCTGGCCTCCTAGAGCACATGCACTCTGGTACATATGCCCACAGACACGAGTTTATACGTAATTAAAAATAAAGAATCTTGAAAACCAAACGTTAGCTACTCGGCAGCAGAAAACAACAACCTAAGCCAGCGGACAGCAAAGAAAAGGGCCTGCATGACATAGGCTGGCATGAAGCATGTGTTGTTGGAACTTGGGGTATCAGCTTTGGGTATACAACTACTGTCACTCCATAATAGCAGGTATTTAGTGATAGAAACTTGTACAACTGGCAAAACGTAAAAAAGCTTCCCCCTCCCTTATAGGAAAAGAAACCAAAACAAGTCACAGCCCTTTTAAAAACAAAAATGCAGACTTTCCTAAACACTATTACTACTATTATTACTATTCAATTGGCACACCAATGAAAGCCAGTGTGGGTCACCTTAAAAACTGTTCACCAACACTTCTACATAAAACAGATCACTGTCCTTTAAGACTACAACCAAAGGACTATTTAGCTTTTCAAAGTCTTTCAAATTCCCATATTTTTCATTTTTCAATCCTTGAATAATTATCTAAATTATGACTCATTTGGCATTGAACACTTCACAACCTCTAACAAAAATGGAGATGAAGCTCTGGCTATATTAAAACACTTCTAAGAGGTTTGGGGCGGGGGGGAGTGAAATCTAAAGAAAGTTCTAGACCTCATTTTAATAACCCCTTGTTCGGTGATTTTCATCACATAATACTTTGAATGTTACTAAGGCTCAATTTTAGTAACAATTTTTAATTTCTCTTTTATTTTGCCAGTATATAGTTTAAGATCTTCATTCAGCCTACAGATATCTATGTGATTTATATTTTTTAATGCTCATGGTTCCAGAGTTCATATTATAAATGCGTATTTTACACACACACATTATGGAAAGTGTGTCTAGGTAATAAGGTGCCCACTGATGGTCAGTGTTCCTGCTGCTTTATACACAAAGAAATCCAAATCAACTAAATTTTGTCAACAGCAGAACAGTGAGTTTTCCTGTTCACTTGTGAAGCTCAAAACACACAAGGCAAACTTCATTTCCTGAATCTTAGGAAGAAGTGCCCTTACCTGAAGGAACACTCTCTTTGGTTTTGGACTCGAGGAATTGGAGCTGTATGGGAAAAAGGCTCCACTGCAGACGAGAAAGAGCGTGACAGCACATACCAGTGTTAGAGTCAGAATGGTTTTCTTTGTGCTATTCACAAGGTAGATGAAGTTAATCTGAACACAAGCACAGAAACAGAGAAATTGTGATTCATACCATTGGTAGAGAGGTGTTTTAAATGATATATTTTAGTACTTTCTAAAACACAATAAAGAAAAGCTAGGACCCTGGGTAATGTACTGTGACACCCAGTAGACAAAACAGCAATTCCTCAGGCTTTTCCAACCTAAGTAAGAGCCTAGAAAGTGGAGATGCCTTCAAATGGCCAGCATGGTGGTACTTTGTGACAGTGAGCCAGAAAGCAACAGGGAGAATGGAAGCGAAGCACAATGATCCTGTGTTCAAACATTCAAGAAAAAAAAGGACCAGAATCTATTAGTCATGCCACTTCCTTATACGACTCACTGGCCAGCAGTGGCCAGCCCTGCACAGCAGACAACACTGAACTGAACCCAAATTTGGCATTAAGGCTGCCAAACTGTCAAAGGTAAGTTTTTATGCCTAAGCATGTCATTCAATAAAATTCAGATTCCACCTCTAGTGTTTTCATAACACGCTCAGAGTTGGAATTAATCTGTATAACTAGTTGTAGATAGACCTTCTAGACATTGCATTTGAGGAAAACCTACACATGAAACAGTACTGTCCTTTTAGGCTAACCATTGTGAACACTAAAAATGAATCTGAACTTGGAACAATAAACATGAATGGCTAAGTTGCTAGGTTGGCATCCAGAAAAAAACCCACAAAGTATACCTAGCTTTTTTTATTGTAACTAAATCAGCAAATTGAAAGATAAATATAAGCAAGATATATTCACAGTCCCCTCAAGATCTGAGAAACTATCTGAAACTCGCTCCTACTTTTGTTTCTTCATCTTTCTGCCTACCATTAAGCTCATGAAGAACACGAATATGAAGATATTTTTCATGAAAGAAAAATAAAAAACGAGCAAGAATCAAAGTCTGTGTAAAGCGTTCTAATATCCTTTCCTGGCAATTTCAACCAAACAGTACTACACTTGGGTCAAAGATCTTACACTTGTATACTATGTTAGGAAATAAACCCTCCAGGATTTAAGGCAGTAAGACAGCAAAACAACTTGTAACCCTATCTGTCCTTCTATCAAGTTGTCATAGTGCTCAAAAAGTTTCAACTATCCCACCAAGTAATGAGTTTCCCCTCTACTGAAATCCTGGTAAATTTGAACATACCAAAGCTGTTCAGTTAGAGTTGGATTAAGGGGAAAAAAAAACAGATGGAAATTAATATATTTTAGTAATATATATTAAATTATGTATATAATTTATATATTAAATTATGTATATAATTTAATAATAAAGTCCTTGCTATAATACAGTTCCAAGCTAGCTACTGCCAAAGCTGTCCTAAGCTACCATTCCCTATTGTAAGGCTCATCTTCTGGGTACTTATAAATGGACTCGCAGAATGAAGAAGATTAAAGAGTGACCATAAAGTGACTGTGCTTGGAGTCTATAGTTAAGCATCTTTACAGTTGTCTTCTGTCTTAAATATTTCATCTTCTGTCACTTTTAAGACCTTGAATGGGTACAGAATCAAATGAAGAAGCTAAGCTTGATAGCACAGTCCTGTAATTGCAGCAGTTGGTAAATAGATTCAGGAGGATCAGGAGTTCAAGGTTATCTTTAGAAAGTTTAAGGCTAGCCTGGGCCATGTGAGACCTTTTTTCAAAGCACAAAAACTAATGAGGAGTGGAACTGAGAAGATGCTCAGGAGTTAAGAGCACTCACTGTGCACACATGAGGACTTGAGTTTTAATCCTCCGCACACATGTAAAAAGCCAGGAATGACTGTACATGCTGCCAGCATTGGTGTGTTGAGACAGGCGGCCCCCAGGAGCTCACAGGTTGGCCATCCTAGCTACAAAGGTAAGCTTCTGGCTCAGTGAGGTATTCTTTCAAGCAAGTAAGGCAGGGCACAGTAGGGAAGGTACCTGATGTCATCCTGGGCCCTCAGAATGCACATGCACCCCACACATGTATACCACACACACCCCTTTCTTGCTGAGTCTCCTGACCCCGTGCCTATTATTGGGCCTATTTTAGCTCTTAGCCAATCAGTATAACCATGATGCTCAACAAAGAATAATTCTAGAAATCATGATAACTTACCACACAACAAGAATGTAATTGTTTTCTAAAACACTTAATAAAGCCTCAATGACTATAAGAAACATTTTCCAAGGTAAAGATTATGGTTCAGTGTTCTATTACTCAGGGAGCAACCTCGCTGAATCAAGAAGCCACTGTCTTTAACACTGACACATAAACGAGAGAATGATAACTTATAGCATCTCAGAATAACAGCGTCATTCCACAGAGTATGTAACAAAAAAGAAATAATAGTTTTAGGGAGAGAAGCCTCCCAACCTAACTCACTATGTAGACCTGTGTGGCCTAGGACAGGTACATACCAACATGCTCAGTTGCAATTTTATTACTATTCCAAGAGGCAGTCTTTCCAAAAACTCTGCTAGTAAAATATACTTATGATAATACAGGTTGATCTCATTTTGGCTCCTAAGACAGCCATGCTTTAGGGACTTTCCAGTTTCACAGGTTCATTATTCTCCAACATGGTCAATGGAATAGAATAGATACCCTGCATCTGAATCACCTTTTTTAGACACCAGAAGTGCTGTGGTTCTCCAACTGTGGATTGCAATTCCTTTGGGGCTCAAAATACTCTTTCACAGGGGTCGCATATCAGATATTTACATTATAATTAATAACAGAAGCAAATTAGAGTTATGAAGTAGCAATGAAATAATTCACGCCTGAGGGTCACCGTGTGAGGAGCCGTAGTAAAGGTTGTAGCACTGGGAAGGTTGGGAACTGATCTGGTGGAGTAAGGACAATGAAAACCCATAACATAGCTACCATGGACCAGACTCATCTACAGGGAGCAGACGCTACTCCTTTATGGTTGTGCGGTTGGTTTGTGGGGACAGTGCCTTAATATGTAGTCAAGGCTGGCTTCTAACTCATGATCGGCCTGTTTCATCTCCCAAGAGCTAGGATTACAGTTAGCTGTCACCATGGCCAGGTTCCATCTCTTCTAATCCTCACAAGAGCAAACCTATTAGTGAAATGTTCCCTTCAAGTTTTTTGTGTTTGAACACTTAACCCCTAGCTGGTAGGTGCTTTTAGGAAAACTGTAGAAATTACAGAGGGAAGGTCTAAGTGGAGAAAGTAGGTCTCTGGCCGCAAGTGCTTGAGGCTCTGTTCTCCCTGGCCGTGATCACATCCGGGCCCGCCACAGATTCCTGCCACCAGAAGTGCCACTGTGCCTTTCCCACTATGACAGACACGACCCTCAGGAACCATGAGCCAAAATAAAATTTTCCTTTCTGAAGTTATCTTTATCAGGTATTTTGCCACAGTGAAAAGAAAAGCAACTACATTTAACAAATACAAAATACAAGACTGAAGCGTTAGGAATAAAACTAAAAGAAGTATGCAATGAACATTAGGATTCCATCCACCTCTGAAAATGCAGTAAAAGCTAGTCATGACCTTGTAGGCTTTGTTGCCTGTCTGGGAGAGGTCCTTTCAATACTGGGGAACTGAGCCTGGGGTCTCACACTCATGTCCAGCAAGCATTCTTCTCAGTGAGCCCCAGCCTGTAATCTATCTTAAAGGCAACAGTTGGGTGTCAGGTATAGCCATCCGCAAGCAGTGTGCATAAGAATTTCTTTATGTGGCTACGCATGCAAAGCCACATATGCAGGGCTTTCCAGGGTGCCGTGGACTATAACTGAGGCATCCCTCTTCCCTCGCTAGGTCTTCAGAACCTAGTCTACCAGGAATGCTCTTCATTACAGTGATATGAAAAAGCACACTATGCTGGCCATGAAAAAACAAAGCTTTTAAGAACTCCAATCCCTAACCCTACGTGGCTCCCCCAGCTTCAGAGCCCCAGCCTAGAGGTACTCAGTAAGTACTCCTGAGGAACCGCAACAACAACAACAAAAGCACAAAACAGAGAGATGCTTCCTCTAGAGAGGTTCAGCATCTGCTTCAGACACCAAGCCAAAAGAATGTTGACTGAGGAGTCCGGTCCTCCGGTCAACCATCTTTTCTTTCCTCCGAGAAGTCCCATGGGAAAAAAAAAAAAAAAAAACAGAAAGCAACCATAAGACTCGACACCCAGGCAGTGTACTCAGAGACTGAGAGACAAAAGCATGTTTGGGTATCACCCAAGAGGCAAGGTTCATAAATCCTGACATGCCAGCAATGAAGTAGATAATGAAAACACCTCAATGACAAACACACACACACAGAGATGCACACACAAAACCCTACAACTACTGTGTATTGGCCTCTTGGTTACCATCATTCATAACACGCTCATATTTTGGAAGTTCAGGAACAGAACATCTTACAATCCACACAGTGTATAGTCTATACATTCATATCTGCTAGGATGGAAAACTATTTGAAAAGAGGATTTAGACACACTTGGGAGGTTGGGACAGGAAGAATACCACAAGCCAAGGCCATCTTGGGTTACATAGTTCTAAGCCAGAGTGAGAACCTGTCTCCGGGTGGGAAGAAAAAGTGAAATAGGGGGATATGGATTTTTTTTTTTAATTTTTTTTTAAACATTAAAACAGTAACAACAAAACACGGTCTCACCATATAGCCCTGGCTGGTCTGGAACTCACAGAGATCCTCATCTCTACCTCCTGAGTGCTGGGATTAAAAGTGTGCGTCACCATATCATTCTACATCTTCCTGTCATACTGAACGGACAATGCACAAACACTGACCCCAGCTTTTGTGTAAATTTTTCTTAATAAAGTATAAGCAACCTAGTATTTCACAGAATACACTAAAGCTAATCACATAGATAAAAAAATAAAAAGAAACAAAATCCATTTTCCTTACAAAATAGGAGGAGAGAATCATCACACAGACAGCCAAAATGGAGGCCAACACAACATCAGGAGGGATTTCTGAACCGCTTCTTCCAAGGATAGGAGTAAACATCTCAAATACAGCCCAGATGAGATACAGTCCATAAAGATATGGGATAAACATCCCCAAAAAGTAAAGAGTAATAAATCTTCCTTGGGCACCTAGGGAGAAGAAAAAACTGAAATTACACTGTAAGATGCTCATTTTCACAGTGCTCACCTGCTATGGCACCTGAGAGAAATGGAGTCAGACGTGACTCTAGTCCCTTTGGTACATATAATGTAGAGCAATCAGAAATTTTCATCAGGAAGAATAAAATACAAATAATATTCATGTATGTTCAGAAACATGAGAATGGGATGGAATATACAGTGTAAGATAAATACTTCCATGGCATAAAAAAATTAAAACAAATAATTTGGAAAGGTAGTTTCCAATACATAATCTCTGGGAGCCTCACATTGTTAACCTCTTCCCATCTTTATCAAAGAACAAAATTCCCCTACCGTGCTTCTTGAAGTCCTTATACACCCACAGCTTTGTGAGCAGTGGAAACGCTACCCAGACAGCACTCATGAATGCAGAGCAAAATCCTTGGTAAGTCAAAGTAACAAGAAAGCCACAATGCACAAACAATGAGGTGTCAAAAAACACTTCTCCCAGATACAGGTTGCTGGCATTCTGAAAGAAAGAGAAATAGTCTTGTTCACTGTCATTCACCAATGCACATGAAATAAAAGTAAATGTTACAGAGCAAGATTCTTTTTTTTATTTTATGTATTTTTTTATTATTAATTCATTTTGTATCCCCCCATAAGCCCCTCCCTCCTCCCCTCCCGATCCCATCCTTCCTCCCCTTTCTGCATGCATGCCCCTCCCCAAGTCCACTGATAGGGGAGGTCTTTCTCTCCTTCTTTCTGATCTTAGACAATCAGTTTTCATCAGAAGTGGCTGCATTGTCATCTTCTGTGGCCTGGTAAGGCTGCTCCCCCCTCAGGGGAGGTGATCAAAGAGCAGGCCAATCCAGAGCAAGATTCTTAACCTGGGAACGTGGTGACTCTGTCTCAGATAATTCAAAACAATAACAGTAGCAATAATGCAAACTGAAACTGAATGCACCCAAAGACCTTAGTAAGGAACGCTGAAATTACTGAACATGTTTTACAGTAAGTGCCAACCGTTGAACAAATGAAACAATATTCCCCAAATTAAGTTTCATCTACACCTCTATTCATCCTTCCCTCACTCCTGTCCTTTTCCAGTATAGCTGCCAGAGTTTTCTTCCTAAATCACAAACCTACTCAACTCTATCCTCTGAGAAAAGGTTAATGGTGGCCTAACTAATTTTTAGGGCCAGCCTCCAAGCTCAAATTTGACCCTGACCCCACTCTTGGCTTGTTAAGGTTCAGTCGCCTTGTCTTCACCACACTGGCCTCTTTTTATCTACAGCTCAAACATGCCTTGCATATTCCCACTTCTGACTGATCATCTGTTCTCCACCACGCACTCATGTTTCTAAAGCCCCATTCAAACATCCCCATGTTCATGAACAGAGGCTTACTCAATGTCAAGCCCATGCCTCTTGCAGAACTGTTCATGCCACTCCATTTCACGCCACTGCATGATGTACAAGAATCACTGTACTTTTACATCTTATCAAATGAAGCTGAAATCGAAAAAAAGATCACACTCTCATGGAGCCCTCAGCCAACTGAGTGCTAAAAGAGCCTCTAAAACAATGAGGCATGCTGGTAGTTCGGGCCTGTGCTCCCAGCCACTCAGGAAGCTAAAGCAGGAAGAGCACACATTCAAGACCCCCTTGGGATACAGGGTGAGTTCAGGGCCAGCCTGAGGAAACCAGTAAGACCCTGTCTCAAAAGCAAAAATGTAAATAAAGTAAAAATGTAAATAAATCTAATAAATTAAATATAAATAAATTAAAGATATATATGTGTGTGTGTATATGTGTATGTATGTATGTGTGTGTGTGTGTATATATATATACTATCTCCCAAGCCTCACATATATGAGGCTTGGGAGATAGTAAAGTGCTTAATATGAAAGCATGGAGACCTGTGTTCCATCCCCAGAGCCCACATAAATGAGCTGGGTACAGTGGCACCCACTGGTAATCCCAACTTGGGTAGACAGAGAAAGGCAGGTAGGTCCCTGGGAATCAGTCAACCAACCTAGCTCTAATAAGCAAGTCCTAGGCCAGTGAGAGGCCCAGTGTCAGAAAGCAAGGTGCTCTTTTCCTTCTAGACTGTTCCAGGCCTGCAGCCATCAAGAATGACACAGGAACAATCTGGTCAAGGAAGTTCATGACTAAACATCTGCTTCAGAGGAAACAAATGTCCACTGATGCCCTTCATCTTGGGCAGGCAAGATTACCAAAGACAGAAATTCTAGGAAAGCTAGACAAAATGTGCAAAACCACACCAGATGACATTTTGGCATAAGAAGCCCTTTTTTGAAATTTTGGTCAGGATTGCCCAAGAGACTCCCAAAACATTACAGGCTACTGTTAATGCCCTTGGTTGTCCCTCACAGGTGGCAGGTAAGTCCCTATTGCTGAAGATAACATGCACAGGCACTGGACCCACTGGCCGGTGAGCTGGAACTGACCCGAATGCATCCTTCGTGAGGACTAGCTCTCATGGTCCTAGCAGGCGGCACTGACGCTTCCAAATAAGGGAAGCAGCCAGCAGTCCTACCTACCCAGCCGTGACGCCTGTGAACCACAACAACCAGCACAGGAAGAAAACCCTCCAGGTGCAGTAGTGGCACACATATCTTGGTGGTAACCACGCTCTCTAACTGGACTTAGACCTACTCAACAAGAGAAAAATAATGCCCGGCATTGGAAACCTAGCCAACTACCCAAGACTTATGACATGGATCTTGGAGAGGAATCTACAATCACCACTTTACAAAACCAGCATAATTCCTAACTACATTCTAAATATGTGTCCTTATACCCACAGATAAGTATAGTCCTCACCCTGCATCAGGGAAAATTTGCAACAGATGGAGACCATTACAGAAAAACTACAACCAATCAAAATGTAAAGCTGTAGATGACAGTCCCAATGGTACCTCTACAAACAACTCTAGAACCTAAGGCTCAGGGAACGTTTTAGAAAGGGGACACAAGGATTGTAAGAGACAGGGATCAAAGAGTTTCCTATGAGACTGTGTCTCCTAACACTGTCAGAAGCTACATCCATAAAGACTCACCAACAGGCCTGCCCAAGTATTAGCTGCACAAGAGACATGATAACGTAGACAGGGGAAAGACCACAGGCCTCAACCCTCCACAAAGAACTAGTCAACTAAGCAATGCTGAGAGTGGGAGGAAGAGAGTCTTCCCCAAGGAAGAGCAAATCGGTTATCCAATACCAAGTGGTCAGCTCTAAAAACACACGAGTAACATTATATAGACTTTAAAAGGCTATATTTATGAACATATGCATATATACATACACATACATGTATTTAACAACAACTAATGAAAACAGGCTATGAATCTGAAAGAGAGCAAAGAGGAGTACATGGGGGGGATTAGAAGGTGGAAAGGGAAGAGGGAAATGATATAATGTCAAAAAGAAAAGAAAAAGTGAAGGAAAGCCAATGAGAAACTCTTAAATACACTATTCTTTTAGGAAAGATGTGCTTCCTATGTCAAGTTGTGTCAGACACTGCCTAAGTACAGGCGATGTAGCAGAGAATTCAACAATCACACCCTCGTCAGCCTGAGAGTCCAGAAAAGAACAGTGATATTCACAGCTAAATAACTGAGTGAACAAGTATGGATTGCTAAATGGAAAGACAGTTCTACAAACAGCAGCAGAGGCAAGCCACACAAGCAAGCCTCGCCATCACCTCCATTTTAAACACTGCTGGAAACAGCTCCGTAACTTCTCTTGAATTCTGCAATTCACTCCCAATTCTCAGAATAAGAAAACTCCAGGAAATTAACACAACTATGGCAGCATTTTCCATAGCCATGCTGAACAATTTCTAATTGTTCTGAAAGAGCATACACAATAAATTTTGCTCATTTGTCTTCAGTTCTTGAAAGTAGCAAAAAGAAACAATAAATACATCAGCCACTTACCACATAATAAAATCTTTTGGCAAGAGTATGTATGAGGATTATTTTGGCCACTGTTGCAGTTCCATACAGGCAAACGGCGACATAAAAGTGGTTATACCATGACAGAGACTGTCCAATGAGAGAGACGAACACTGCTATAATGAGAACTGTAACAAGGCTAGTGAACCAGCTAATAAAAGTGATACCAAGTCCACACAAGAAGTCTCTCATGTAGTTAGCACCTAACGAAGAGAAAACAAAAAGTTAATGTCACCATCTTCATTAAATTAATAACAAAACCAGCTGGTAATGCTGAAGAAGCAAATGTTAAAACAATTCACTACTATAATTGAAGGTACTTAAGTGTCCCAGGGTAGAGAACAGTCAAACACAAGAATCACGTAACAACAAAGGACACTACTCAAGAACACACAGGATCTCTGGGTATTAAAGATTCTGAGAGATGTCTCACAGCACTGATTCATATGCCCTCCTTCCCTGGGAAAGAGGTGGTAATCCTCATCATCTTTAGGATTCTTTGTTTATCAAAATATTAGCAAGGATTTTAAAAGGCAAAGTTCCATAAAACTTCTTGCTAAAGACGGTAGCACAGGGTTGGCAAGGTGGTTCAGCAGACAAGTGCACTTGCCAACCAGACTTGGCAGCCGGAGTCCATGCCCACAGAACTGAAGCCACAAGTGGTCTACGACTTCACACACGCACACTGCGGCACACTACCGCCCACACACGTGCACACACACGAATAAATAGATAAAAAATGTAAAAATGTTTTTAAAGATACCAACACTGGAAAAGAATGACAGGAAAAAGAACTGGGGATAAAGAATTATTTAAATTGCTGCAGAATACTTACATTGTAATAACAGCCAATATTTTAGGCTCTGAGACATTTCAAGCAGAAATGGCTCAAGGAACAGTAACCAGAAGCGCTGCATCCATTCCAGGACTGTGCGTAGAAGACTTTCCGCTAAGTCGGTCTGCAGCGCCAGCAGCATGGCTCAGCAGGCCAACCTGATGACCTCAGTCTCACACCCAGGACCCACATGGTGGAAGGAGTTACACAAGCTGCCCTCTGACTTCCACACTTGTGCGTGCGCACAAACACACGCATGCACGCACGCACACACACACACACACATAAAATAAATATTTTTTAAAAATAAGTTTTCTTTTTGGTTGTATATAAATTTTAGTTTTAACACAGATTATAGGGTTGATCATACTGAGTTTCAAGAACTATTAAAATTTGTTATTAATAAAGAGAAAAATCATTCTAAAGGTTTTTACAATACTGAAGTTCCATTTCAGCACTATTAGTAATTTCATTCCATAACAAGAGACTAAATGAGCACAACTGTGAAATGGGCAACCACACTGCAGGGGAGCAGGGAGCAGCACCCTGCAGATCCCCACCGGGCGCGGGGTGACGCACTGCACCCAGCTCTTGGCCGTATTTGGCTGAGGCAGACAGCTCAGCTGACTGTCCCAACTTCAGGGCAAGTGCATAAAGCCGTCGTCTTCACCAACCCTGAAAGTGAGATGAGCATGCTGATTCTATACTTACCCGGGAGTTTCTAAAACTAGAAATCAAGTAATATTCTCCAGTACAGTAAGATGCTGTACCTTCTGGGAGGAAAGAAAAACAATGGCTAAAATCTCTTCAGCAAATCCCACCCCCATTCCACACTAGAAGGAAATACTTACTCCTGTGTTTGGGCCGGAGCAGTTTTTTCCCCAGGTACAGAACAACAGCCATGACTACCATGTAGTTTATGATTGAGCCAACACGAGAAGGGTACGCAACGACAAGCAGGCCGAGCACGTCAAAGAAGACCATGTTCCCATGTCGATACTCAGATGAAGAAGCCAGCATGTCAGACGTAGCTAGGTACTTAAGAACTGCTAAAATGTTGTCACCTTTTATTGAGAAAAGATAATGAGGTCTAGTAAGCTACTCCAGTGTGACTTCCACATACAGCATGTGCCGCAGACGTACCATCTGAAAATTAATACCCGGAAAGAATGGGCGCAGACCCCGCTCCCACCCTCCACTGCTCTCCCCTCTCAGGCCAAATTCCCCAATAAGGCTCTTGTTCTTGCTCTTCTTCCCCACTGGGCTCAACCCGGGCCCTCTATACCACTATTCCCTCAGACTAACAGCACAACCCCCAAGCTCCAGCTCAAGCCTTCCTCACGGATACATTGTAACTATGCTGACACTCTTCTGAAGACCAGAAACTCAGTGAGAAAACAAGAAAAAAAAAGCCTTGCATGAGGTTGGTCAGCACAGAACAAGTTATTAAAGCTTGTTAAGATTTATATTAGGTGGGAGCTGGAGAGATGGCTCAGTGATTAAGAGTACTGGCTGCTCTTCTAGAGAACCCAGGTTCAATTCCTAGCACTCACATGGCAGCTCACAACTGTCTGTAATTCCAGTTTCAGAGGATCTGGCACCCTCACACATATATACATGTAGGAAAAACATCATTGTACATGAAAAGAAATCTTAAAAAAAAAAAAAAAAGAATTATTAAGAAGGGGAGGCAAAAGCAGGTGACCATCATTCAAGGTCAGCCTAGGTTACACAGCAAGTTCAAAGTTACACTGAGCTATGCAGCAAGACCCTCTCTTAAACAAAAATAAAACATTTTTTCTTAAAAATGACTAAAGAGCTAGCTCTGGGACCAGTGATGCAGTGCTTTCCTAGAATACAGGCACAAGACCTCGGTTTATTCTCCCAGGCTAACAAACCAGAACAAATCACAATTAAAAAGCATACTTGGTAAGGAAGCAGAAAGGTTGCAACTTCAAGGCCAGCCTGGCCTACATAGTGAAATCCTAACTCAGAAAAAAAACAAAAAACAAACAAACAAAAAAAAAAAAACATTTTTTAAGGTGAACCAGATAAGGTATATGGCTATAATCCTAGCATCCAGGAGCAGTGGCAGGAAGCTGACAAGTACTAGGCAGTTGGACCTACACAGTAAGTAATGGGTAGGACCTAGCTAAAATAAGACTGTCCAGATTGACAGAACTATGCCCATGAGGAGGGGAAGGTTCCAATCATGCGCGCGCACGCGCACACGCACACACACACACACACACACACAGTCTCTCTCTCTCTCTCTCTCTCTCTCACATCTCTCTCACACACACACACGTCTCTCTCTCTCACATCTCTCTCTCTCTCACACACACACACGTCACACTCATGTATGTCTTAGATGACAGACAATCCAAATACTCAAGATGTACCTACTTTCCCAGCAGTCCGTACAAACGACTGTCAGAACACTAACTCCTCACTCCCTCCTCCACACTGCACTGCCAGAATAGTAACGTAAAACCACCTTACTGAGTTCATTCATAGACTCAGACCTTCAAGGATTCCTTACTCCTTTGGGTTTTTCTGAGTTTAACATGTTTCCTATCACATTTTTACTTGTTGGAGTGCTGCACGCCACTGCACATATGCAGAGGTCAGAGGACAATTTCCCAGAGTTGTATCTCTCCTTCCACCATGCGGGCCCCAGGGATCAAACTTGGGTTGTCAGGTTGGGCAGCAGGGGCCTTTTTCTGCTGAGCCATCTCATCCACCATGTTTGTTTATCAACACCAGGGATGGAATCCAGGGCCTTGCACATATTAAGCGAGTACTCTACCACCACATCCTTGATAATTTTTGAAGCCACCTACACTTTCCTTCCCCCATATACGTCAACCTTGTCTCCTTCTGGTTCTGAAAATACTACCTCCATCCTAGTCTGAGAGAGTATACCATCCCCCCACCCAGCCGGTTCCCTCCTTCTCCATGCTGTGCTCTTACTAAAAAGTCACCTTCTTTCCATAGCCGCATCCCTATCAACTCCCCCTCTAACGCCCTAGCTCTCTGGGCCGCACTCTACCACTCTGGGCTATGTACATGCCTCATCTGTCCTTACCACCTATCATGGGCCCGTGGCCCCCCCTCTGCTCTCATCTGGGGCCACAAACCCCTGTCCTGCTGCTAGTATAATTCATAGCCCTCACTTTGGCTGCATTCTTTACTCTTCAACAATCCCACTACAGCCTGGGGCCACCCCTTCCAAACTGTCACAGTGAACCCCGCAACCCTACCACAGCCCTGGGCCACTCCTTTCCAAGTATTCACGATGACTATTTCTAAGTTTTTAATTGCTAAGTCAGATGCAAAGACTAAAATTCAAGCCCTCATCTTTCCATCTCCAAATCTAAACTCATTCGACTACAAACTGTCTCTCCCACACAAAACGCTCTTTATACATTGTCCCTAACATTTCATCATTGTGTATCAAAAGCCAAACCTGTTAATACCAACCTGCTCTCTGAATGGAATCTAGGAGAATCCTGTCCGCTGTGTCATACTTGGTGTGATATATGTATCCATTTTCAATAAAAGCTAAGTCTATTCCTAAGACAGACAATGGAAAAGTTATCTTACTTTACAGGCCTGACTTGTGTTAGTCCTGTCTAACAGTTTAAGTTCTAAAAGACAAAATGTCAAGGCATGAGGTTAACTAATGTCTATCATATTCATGAACGATACAAACCCTTTTCTGTTCTTACAAAATCTATCACTATGGTCCAGAATTTAAAACATAATAACTAAGGAAGTATTTTAAGTCACACATTAGGGGAAGAAACTTTGGGGAATGGAATTTGGGCAGATAAGAGCCAAATTTAAATTTCAAATAAAACTATAAAAGTTACCAAAGGAGTTGGAAAAGCAAGACAACAGCCCTAAGCTTCCTTGGAGTTTTGGGGAAATGAGATGCTAAACAGTTCTCTCCATCTCCAGGCTGTGGTACACAATACCCTAGAGAAGGCAAGCACTTAAATTACTGTGGGGCTTGTTAAAAGAGAGCATCAAGAACTCTACTCTGCTGAGTCCGAAGACAGAGCTCTCACATACAGTGTCCGCTCAGAGGCTATTATAACTTTCAAGAAATAAGGTTTGCTTTTGACACAGCAGCCTATGAGCACAGACAAAATACCTGGAATGTTCCCAAAATCCCTATAGATTCGGAAGTCGGTATCGGAAGGAATGATTCCACTCTGAAAAACCTCCTGAGCCACCACAGAAGCAAAAGGGTGTTTAGCTGCCGAAACATAAGCCTGGACCAACCAAGGATTTTCAGGGCCTGAAATGGAAAAAGACAGCACAATACAAGGTTACACAGTACAAGGTAGCTCTGTCCAACATGGCCACACGCGGTTGGCTGCACTGAGGAAATGTGAGTGACACCTAACCGCTAAGGACAGGGATTCCTTTAGGAGTGATGAAGAACATTCTGGGAGCTAAAGAGGTGGCTCAGTGGTTAGCTTTGCTGCTCAACTACAAGGCCCGGAGCTCAGTTCCCAACGCCCATGCCAGGGGCTCACAAGCACCTGTAACTCCAGCTCCAAAGGATCCTATGACTTCTTTAGATCTTTCTGGCACCTGCACACGCATTCACACACATATGAGCACACACACACACAAAAAAAAAACCCCGCTATATTAAAATACTCTAGCATTATGATAATGGTACACAAGTATGTGGAAATGCCTAAAAATGCTGAATTTGACCATTTAAGTTGGTGAATTATAGGACATTTAAATTATGTTTTAATAATTCCATGAGATTTTAAAAGTATATATTCTAAAAAAGGCTACAGTTGCAAAATAGCATCCCATTTTAAGGTAATAATGTGTATATGTGTTCCTGTGCATAAATACACTTTTTTTTTTTTTTTTAATCCCAGAAGGTTGTGGAGCAAATTAACACTGGTTTGGTCAGAGTGGTGAAAAAGCCATGAGCCTTTGGCTTCCTCAGTTTCTTGTACTTAGTTTATAGAGCCTGAATCTTTCCAAATGGGACATATATTAATGGTTTAATCTGTTTAAACCTTATAAGATTATATTAACCCTTCAAAAATGATGCAGGCAGGCCTTCCCGACTCACGACAGTGCAATCTGATGAGCCACTCTTTCTGATCCTAAGAATGATTATTCCAGCCACCAAAAGTTCCCCAAACGAGCCTTTTCCTCAACTGACAATTACGCTCTGGAGAGCACAAACTGTTTTATCTGAAAAGCCAGGACAGGACAAGTCTCACCACACAGTTAAAAAAAAAAAAAAAAAAAAAAGCAAAGGACAGAGCCATCTGGTGCAGACAAATCTAAATCTGCTGAACATAGTGCTTGTCCTCTTAGTCGGACATGGAATCAACACTACGAGCTTTCTAGAAAGCTGGAAGGAAAGAACAGTATAAAATTCAGATGAGCGTGGAATACGTTATGGGCATCAACAAACATTATGGGTTCCTTCCTGGGAGGTAATTCTTAAAATATGAGGACTTTAGAATGAGCAAAATGTTTAATGGGATAGATACTGAAACACTGGAGATTTATTACTTAAAGTAACAAATGCACAGAAAACTATTTAACAATACAGAAAGCTGCAGAGGGCAAGCAGAGCAGTGATGTCAGCGCAGTCCATAGCTTTTCAATGCAATGGAAAGCTCAATCTAACGTTAATCATTTCTCCCCGTATCACCATTCCATGGGCACACTGACCTTAGTGCCACCAGCAAACACCCACCTTCTACTTGTAACTGGTGTTAACTTTGCTCATTTGTTTCCAGGTTAATACAATCACTTTGAAATTCTTTGTTAACTGGAGATTTCTTATCTAAAGCTACATACTACATTTCTTATCTAAAGCTACATAAAGACTAAGGTCTTAGGCCTAAAGTTTGGCTAAGTTTCAGCATCTCCTTCAATACCTTGCTAGATAGTCTTTCAGAGTCCCACTGTGGTAGGCTCCTGTCCTGTTCACTGTTTTCTCCCTCCTCCAATCTCTATCCCATGTGCTTTTCTGAATAAGGATTGAGCATCTTACTCCAGGTCCTCCTTCTTGCTTAGCTTCCTTAGGTGTATAGATTTTAGTATGTTTATCCTATATTGTATGTCTAATATCCACTTATGAGTGAGTATATACCATGTGTGTCTTTCTTCTTCTGGGATACCTCACTCAGGATGATCTTTTCTAGTTCCCACCATTTGCCTGCAAATTTCATGATTTCCTTGATTTTTATTGCTGAGTAGTATTCCACTGTGTAAAAGTACCACAATTTCTGTATCCATTCCTCCGTTGAGGGACATCTGGGTTGTTTCCAGCTTCTGGCTATTGCAAATAAAGCTGCAACAAATATGGTTGAGCAGATGTCCTTGTGTACTTGAGCAGAGTGCAGGGAATCTTATGAAAGAAGGGGGAGACAGAAAGACCTGGAGGGGACAGGAGCTCCACAAGGAGAGCAACAGAACCAAAAAATCTGAGCACAGGGGTCTTTTCTGAGACTGATACTCCAACCAAGGTCCATGCATGGAACTAACCCATGCACAGCTGTAGCCCATGGCAGCTCAGTCTCCAAGTAAGTTCCCTAGTAAGGGGAACAGGGACTATCTCTGACAAGAACTCAGTGGCTGGCTCTTTGATCACCTACCTGTGATGGGGGAGCAGCCTTACCAGGCCACACAGGAAGACAATGCAGCCAGTCCTGATGAGACCTGATAGGCTAGGGTCAGATGGAAGGGCAGAAAGACCTCCCCTATCAGTGACCTGGAGAAGGGACAAAGGAGGAGATGAGGGAGGAAGGGAAAATGAGATTGAGAATGGAAGGGGACAAGGGAGGGGGCTACAGTCAGAATACAAAGTGGATAAACTGTAATTAATAAAAAATAAATTTAAAAAAAAAAAGGTATTAGGCCTAATCAGACCCAGGAAAAGTAGGCACTCAATAGATGTTAGAAAAGAATTGCCTTGAGCTTGGACTCCATTTGAGGTAAATGTGTTGTCATCTCTTCAAACTATGTATGTAGACTGTACTAATCTATGCAGAGAAAAACACCAGGAAGCGTTTGGACTAACCTGTGAGACTGGGTAGCAGAGCACAGGAACAGGCACTACACAAAAGGGGCAGCCTACAAGACACGCTGTTGCTCCAGGTGAGGCTGACTGCTCTCTGCGCTCACTCTTTGCTGCTGCTCCTATTGATAACAGAGTTCAGCTGCTTCCCGCCAATTAAAAAGAAAGTAGAAATATTTAAGAGCTAAAAAAGGTCTTGCTGTATCTCACCTTGTGACCTTGAATTTCGTGTGTGTGTGTCTGTGTCTGTGCACCTGTGTGTGTGTTCTGAGTCAAGGTGTCCCTAGGTAGCCTTGGCTGACCTGGAACACAGAGATCTGCCTGTCTCTGCCCGACACATGCTGGGGTTAAAGGCCTACACCACCAATCTGGCAACCCTGAATTTCTTAAAGATGTAACTGAAATACAATACAGGTCCATTTCAAAGTTAAGAGTTAAAGTAAATTTGAGAGAGTATTGAAATATGAAACTTTTTAGTTTACAAAAAGCATTTAGTACTTAGTGTAATTTCAAAACTTAAACAATATAATGTCTTTTAAAGATCTACAAAGAAAGTTTCTATTGCCTTACTCACTTCCTATAGACCCTCTCACACAAAACACTTCTTACTATTAAGACTCCTGACAAGTCAGGCAGGATAGCACACACCTATAATACCAACACTCTGAGCTGGAGGCAGAGGGATGAGGGGTTCTGGGCAGCCAGGCATACAAAGTGAGACTGTCTTGATTCAAACAACAACAAAAGCAGCTTTTAGCAGAAGGTCTGCGTGTGGCTGAAATGGACTGATGCCTTTGCCCATATTTCTAGCAGTGGCAGGACAGAAGGTGGACCTTCCAGCATCAGGTCTTAGCAGGCCCTGCTGAGCAAGTCCTTTTGCTCTAGACTCTGCTAAGATGACAAGTCCTCCCTGATGATGCAGCCTGGCCAGGCCATGGAGGAAGGAGATCCAGGCAGCCCTGATGAGACTTAACAAGCTATGGGCTGATAGCAATAGTGGAGAACTCCCCCTTTCAGTGGACTAGGGGAAGGGGAAGAGGAGAAGAGGGAGGAAGGGGGCTTCAATCGGGATATATAATGAATAAATTGTGAAGAAAAAAAATAAATTAAAAAAATTAGTATAGGTTTAAAAAAAATAAAAGATGACAAGTCCTAGCTGGGCGTTATTCTCAGCACTCAGGAGGCAGAGGCAGGAGTTCAAGGCCAGCCTGGTCTACAAAATGAGTCCAGGACAGCAAGGACTATAAGAGAAAACATGTTTGGAAAGAAAAAGAAAAAACAAAACAAAAAACAAAAAAAAACGACAAGTCCATGTTATTTAGCGATTATACCCTGTTATCTTAAGGAAAGCTTCATCCTAAAATTTAAACTTTCTTTGGCTATTGTACTTACTGGGTTTCTTGACACTCAAATTAACTCAGTGATAGAATTAAACTTAAACTGTGGGTGAATTTTCTCATTTAATAACTATGATTTTAAATACTTTATATCATAATTATCCACAATTAATAAAAGCAATATCCTCATTGTATTATGTCTTCATTTGCTTCTCTGCTGTGGTAATAAAACACTGGCCAAAGGGAACTTGGGGAAAAATGGGCTCATTTGGTTACAGGTTATGAGTCTATCACAACAGAAGCCAGGGAGAAACTCCAGTCAGGAACCTGGAACCAAAATCTAAAGCACAGGCCCTGGGGGGATGGCTGCTTATTGGCCTGCTTTCCATGGTTTGCTCAGCTTGCTTCTCATACAACTCAAGATTACCTGAGAGGAGTGGTACCACCTACAGTGAGCTGGGCCCTTCCACATCCATCATTAATCAAGGAAATGCCCACAGACAGGCACACAGGCCAATGTGATGGAGGCAAGTCCTTAACTGATGTTCTCTCTTCTCAGATAACTCTAGTTTGTGTTACATTGCCAAAAAATACACCAACCACCATATACTGCAATTCTTACTTGCTCTAAACTGACACTGAGCCTAAACCACTCAGGTTCCAACCATGCTGTCACGTACCAACTGTAAAACCTTGCAAGTTTTAAACTCTCCCACCTCTGTTCTTCATCTATAAATTAGAAATATAGCAGCATGCACTCGAACTAAGTAATTTAATGTATATAAGATGTTTCAAATGACATTTGCATGTAATAAGTACTATAAAGGAGCCCCATGCTGTTCACACTATTTGATTTAAAAAAATTAACAAGGGGAGGCAGGTAGACTCCCGTAGCCCAATAGCCAGCGAGCCTAGCTGAACGGATGAGCCCCAGGCTCAGCAAGAGGTTCTGTTTCAATAAGATAGGAAGCAACCGAGGAAGACACCTCATGTTAACACCTCCAGCTACTACAAGCACACACACACACAACACACACACACACACACGCATGCACACATGGACATCCACCAGACCAACGTGTGTATATACTGAACACATACAATCACAAAAATTCACAAAGACAAGTTAAGATTACCTCACACTTTAAAACAAACCTCAATCAAGAGATTGCTCATTAAAGAGAGTACTTCTACTGGAAAACTTTCCATTGACATGAAATTGGAGCTGCATTGAAATGTTAAGTGCACTCTTCACATACCTGTTTGGAACACAAGTTCTTTCCCTCCTACACCTGCTGCCTCTAGGTTAATAAATGCACGAATGGAACGGGCCCAGGGATGCTGGGTAATAAAACCATGGCTGGCCTTAATAAGGAGAGAAAACAAATGGAGGTTAAACTAAGGGTTTTTTTAGTTCATTTATTTTTATAAATTACCGTTTATTCACTTTGTATCCCAGCTATAGCCCCCTCCCTCATCCCCTCCCAATCCCACCCTCCCTTCCTCATCTTCTCCCATGCCCCTCCCCAAGTCCACTGATAGGGGAGGTCCTCTTCCCCTGCCATCCGTTAAACTAAGTTTTTATTTTGCTTATTTGTATGACAGAATGGCTATCTCAAAAAGGTAGGAACTACGAGAGCAAAATAACCACTTCTCAAAAGCAGACCCTAAAGGCATCTTCCTAAATAAAATGATGGTGTTCAGTTGCCAAGTGAAAAGAAACTGTGAGGACATGTAATGCAAAAGTTAAAAAAAAGAAAGAAAAGAAAATACAGACAGTTCGTACGGCTAGGCCTTCATGCTGTGTACCTTCCTCAAATCATCTCTCTGAAACTTGAGGGTTAAAGGCTCAGAAGAGAGTAATTACGCCATTCAGAAGCCCTTACATCGACACTTTTCTGATCACAGCAGCACGTGTGTGAGCCTAGCACTCAGAAAGCACGTGTGTGACCTAGCACTCAGAAAGCACGTGTGTGAGCCTAGCACTCAGAAAGCACGTGTGTGACCTAGCGCTCAGAAAGCACGTGTGTGACCTAGCACTCAGAAAGCACGTGTGTGACCTAGTGCTCAGAAAGCACGTGTGTGAACCTAGCACTCAGAAAGCCGAGGCAAGAGGATCACAAGTACCAGGCCAGTGTGGGAGACCAAGCAAGACCCTATTCCAAAAACTAAAAGTGAAAACAAACAAACAAACAAACAAAAAATCACACACTAGAGCAAGATGAGCTGTTCTCAGGTGACTCTCTAACACACTGAGCCCATCTGCACTATCAGTATGTTTGAAGTACTGATAATAGTATTTATTTTGAATATTATTTTTATATTAGTCATATCACTAATAAAACAGACTGTTACCAATCATTATTACTCTCATTATTATTCAGCCCAAATACTTGAAACAATAAAGCCTTACTTGCAAGACATTTTCCTCTGCACCATTGAAGAGGAACACCACGGCATGCTGTAGGGGCTCTGAAGACGCTGCCATGACTCGGAGAACTTCGAGCATCACCGCACAGCTAACTGCGTCGTCACTGGCACCTTGGAGCAGAGAAACAGATGCACTTCTCAGAGTTACAGTGTTTTTCACTACTGGTGTGGACTGGAGTTTTCCCCTCAGAGAAGCATCATGATAGCTGCATGACCAGAAGCGTAACTCTGTCATCACAGGGTGACAGCTATGCACAACAAAGACAAGCCCCATAAGATCCTTGTCTGGCCTGCTCAATGACCGAGGCAGTGGAACCATGCTCACAGCATGTACTCAGCAGCTGTGGAATAAATTAACCAGATGGGGCCTAAGGCCAACTGGAATTTATCCTCGTCCCCCATCCTCTGGAAGAGTCTTTCTTCTGGTACTCATGGCTTCCTCCACTCTCCCACTTCCTCGACTCTTTCAAAATCATAAAAGCTGCAGCACCTCACAATTACAGAGGGAGTAACAGGCTACACTTCTTTAAGTTCTTTAAGGGATCAAGTATGGAAAAGTACAAAGAAGGCACCTGAATGATAAGACACTGAAGAGGGAACTGTGCCCTGTCCCAGCATTGCAAAAGTACAGCACCACGGCCAGCCTGGTCTACAAAGTGAGAACAGGACAGCCAGGACCACAAGGGAAACTCTGTCTCAAGAAAAATTTAAAAATACAAAAAGAAGAAGAAGCTGGGCACAGTGGCATACACTTTAATCCCAGCACTCAGGAGGTTAGAGGCAGGCAGATCTTTGTGAGTTCGAGGTCAGCCTGGTCTACAAATCGAGTCCAGGATAGCCAGGGCTATTACACAGAGAAACCCTTTCTCAAAAGAGAGAGAGAGAGAGAGAGAGAGAGAGAAAGAGAGAGAGAAAGAAAGAAAGAAAGAAAGAAAGAAAGAAAGAATACTCAGATAGTCCAGTCTCTACATCAGAAAATCATATTAATTAAAGATTATAAAAAGAACTCTAGTTTTTAATGAAATCCATTACTTTATCATTTGTATTTATTTTTTTGTGTGCGGGGGGGGGGAGGGCAGCACACTTGCCACAATATGGCACATACGGAAGTCAGAGGACAATCTGTGGGAGTTCACTGCCTCCTTCCATCTGGAGTTTCCGAGTGGAAACTCGGGCAGTTGGGTTTGGTGGCCGGCGCCTTCGAGCGCTGGTTTTAAAAGCACTGTGCGAGGTAGTTAAACGAACTGACTGGCTATTTGATAACACTAAAGAGTTACTGCTAATTTTTTAAGTCAAGTAGCTCCTAATACTGTTAGCATGGTCAAAGGTGTCCTCCTCCTTTACCATACAGACTGAAATACTGAGGAGCCGAAATAGCCAGGCGGGAGGGCTGAGGGAGAAACAACGACTGGACTACATGAGAGCGGGAGGCACACTGGATGGAGTCCAGTGAATGAGTCTATTCTATACATTTGATTCTTTTCATCGTGGGAAGTTTAGAGTCCGCGAACACTACCATAACTCAGGCAGTAGCACTTCTGGGTGAGGCAGTGGTGAGTGCTGGGTGAGGACTCCGCAGCAGGGAAGTGGTGGAGTGAACTGTATCTCTGTCACTTCATTCACTGTGTCCATGCCGAGAAGGCGGACTGCTAACTCCACCCCACAGGCGGCACCTGGGAAACATCCCAGGGTAGCTTTCTTCCTTCTCCTTGACAACTTAGGGAAGCCTCTGTAACCAGCTAAAATGATTGTTTCAGGACTCCGTTATTCCAAATCCCACTTCTGCTCGAAAAGAGTCTTGGTGATAATTCGGACTATATTTTAGTCACTAGTCAAAGTGAAACAAAATAACAGTTACCTAATTACTGTTAGAGCAGGGAGTATGAGCTGATACACTGATATACTGGTACTGTGTGCCATTTTCCAGAAAACCTATGAACTAAACATTTTCTTTTTAAAATGAAAAGCAAACAATAACATTTTTCTATTCAAAGTAGAAGTAAAATTTAAAAACATTCACCTTTATACAGCTGATTAGCAAATTAAACTTCACACTCATCCTCCCTACTTTAAGGGATCTAATGTCTTAGAGAACAGAAAACGGTCAAAATACCTTTAAGGAAGTGACAGTCAGAGGACAGTAAAAAGGCCGAGTGACTAGCTGGCATCCCTTTCCATTTAGAATCAACCCTGAAATTGAAGCCAGCCCAGAATGACTCAAAACGTCTCTTTTGCCAGTGGCCTGGCAGCACACGGCCGACCTGAGAAGATACATGAGGTGCGTCTGTAGGCAACATTACTTCTAATGAGTATCCATTCCTGCATCCAGAAACGCTGTGAGGACTTTAATACACACAGGAAAACCAGCCCAGGGTGCCGGCCCGTGACCCCAGCCCCTAGGCGAGTAAAGCGGGAAGGCTGCTGGAAGACTCAGGCCAGCCTAGCCTGCACTGTTGAGGATGTCTCCATGACACTCCTGAAGCTGGGCTACAGCTGTGGCACAAGAGGGACAGGTGCTGGGTTCCCCCAGCACAGCAAGCACCCACGCACAAATACTCCTGCTTCAGTGAACTGACCCACACGAGCATTCAGGTGACAACTACTTGGTGCATGAGTGAAAGGCTTCTCTTAGCTTATTACTGACAGGAGCTTCCTTCACACCATCAGCATGGGTATTATAAAATTTTAGGTAAAAATTATTTCTAAACTAGATAGAGCATTTTCTTAGCATGCCATAGGTTCATTATGGAAAAAAAAAAATCCTTTTAGTCATTTAAACCATGCATAGTGGCACACTCAGATCAGAAGATTCAAGACCATCCTCGGTGTAGCAAGCATGCAGCCCTGTCTCTAAGAAAAAGAGGCAGGGGTGTAAAAGCATTCTAAGGGCTCTCGGAGAGTCTTTTCATTGGTGGACGCCACATGCAACCTGTACACCTGGCACTATGTGAAGAGCAGCAGCTAAGGCCATTCGAATGCTACCTTACTACAAGGAAGGCTCTTTGGTGCTGAAAGAAATCCAAATACACAAGAGCTCTCTGCCCTCCTCCCATTTTCTACACACAGAACATAAACCTAGGCGGCTCTTCCACCTCCCCATCTACTCGGAAGGACAAAGGTTAACCTCCAAAGACAACCTTAGCCGCTGAAGAGCCTGCAGGCAGCAAACTTTACCGCTACACTGACTTCCCATCTATGTCGTTTCCTGTAATTTGCAGCCCACATAGACACTAGGTCCTTCCTCCTTTTTTATTTTATTTTTTTATTTTTAATGGGTTTTCTTGCTTTGGTTTGGGCTCTCATCTGGTTTTGTTTGTTTGTGCTGCAGCGCTAAGGATGGAACTTGGGCCTGGCACATACTAGGCACTCGCTCTACCACTAAGTTACACCCAAACCCGGTGCTTTCTCCTTGTCTTGTCACTTTTCAAAAAAAAGTATTGTTCTTTGATGAAGATAATATATATCTAAGCCAGAGAGCTGAACCACTTCTTAAAATGGTTCATTTTCCCTTGGTATCACTCAGGTACCAAGCAAACAATAACACTTTTTTATTCAAAGTAGAAGTACACATGGCAATGACTGTCTCCTTTTCTTTTGAGTATCTTTTCTTGTAAGGATCCATCCCATGTAAGTATGAAAGGGAAAGGAAAAATCAGGAGGGTTTACATTTAATTGATGCCTGCATATCCAGTCTTTTTAACCACAGCATGCATGCGTCCCTTTCCAGAAATTAAGCACCATAATAGTGAGCACAGGTGCCTTTTTCTAGTGTCCCTGGCATATGTTAAGGCATTTCTGCCTTGTTTTTAATGAAGGTGTGGATACTGATTTCTTAACAAGCAAAATATGTTCTAAATGCATAGAAATGCCTCCACAGTATCACTTCATCAAGTTAAGGCCAGTTTGTATCATATGTACTCTAGATGGTTCTATTGGGCCTGCCATCCACTCAGGCAATTCACAAGTATTGTTACCAACAGAACCACCATCAAAGGAAAGCTTTCCCTGAAAGATGCTATCGTAATGCTTTCATTAGACTTAATCCTTTGAGCAACACTATGAGGAAATTAATTAGTATGTCTCCATTCAGCAGCTAAGAATTAAAGAAAGAATAAGTTAAGCAATACGCGGAAAGAAGGCCCAATACTCAGGTATTCTCCTGGTCAGGAAGCCTGGGACCCATCCCAGGTCTGTGTCTCCCGAGTGGGGACCAGTCAGAAAAGGGCTCTTAGGTGTCAAATCTCAGGATGACATTGTAAAATGCTGCTTTCTATTCTTATCTGCCTACGTTAGCTGTGGGTTTTTTCATAGTTTATTTGTGAATGTTTATGTGAGAATATAGAGAAGAAAATTTAAAGATAATGCATGTCACTAGTTTAGACATGAGTCCATTATAAGAGACAGTCATGGAAATTTACAAACGTGATAAAAGATTTCAGAACTTAAGTGCAATGAGCAGGCTTCACATTATATCATTCCAGTAGTGATTTCTGTTTTACTCTCTAATACTTTCCAAAAACATCACCATCTCTAAATTAAAAAATATGCCTTGCTACTGGAGAGATGACTCAGCCGTTAAGACCGCTTGCTGTTCAATCATGAGGACCGGAGTTCAGATGCCAGAACCCACATCAGCCACAACTGTTCGCAGATAACTACAAACTCCAGCTCCAAGGAATCTAACACACCTTCTTCTGGACACACATACACACACACATACATACATACACACACAGACACACACGTGGGTATAAATATATACACATAAATAAAATAAATATTTAATAAATACATTTTTTTTCAAGAGAAATAACCCTTGTGGTTCATGACTTTATCAGTACCTCCACACTCTGGGAGAATTTGATCTCCAACTTTCAGACTTACTGAATCTCTCTACCTCCAAGCTACTACGATTGACGGTAATGGGTTGGGTTGGTTTTTCTTTTTTGTTTTTTGGGGTTTTTTTGTTTTTTGTTTTTTTTTTTTTTTGAGATTTATGTGGAAACTTAGTACCTCTTTTGGTTTAAGTTTTGGCTATATTCACTTCAACCAATATCGTATTAAACAGCTGAAGAAAGTTTTAAATGCTTTTCTTAACCATTATTCTTGCCAATGCAGCTGGCACTCTTTGGTGCCATACAAGGAGAAAGAGAACCAGAGTCCAGCCTCAGGTCACATCAGAAACTATTCAAAAGCTGGGCACAGTGGTGCACACTATAATCCCAGCACTCGGGGAGACAGAGGCAGGTGGATCTCTTTGAGTTCGAGGCCAGCCTGGTCTACAAAGCGAGTCCCAAACAACCAAGGCTACACAGAGAAACCCTGTCTCAAAACACTGAAAAGTAAAACAAAACAAACAAACAAAAAAACCCATTCGAACTATTGAAATCATGTTTCTGAGAAATCTTATTAAAAAAAAAAAACAAAAAACAAGTTCAATTTAGAGGATTGACACTGATTTGACAGATTTATATTATGTCAGACACTGTTAAAAATCAAGTTTTCCATCTTGCCAATGTCTACTCAAAGCACAATATTAAGTATTCTACCAGTATGTAACACCTTCAGTGGACCATAACTTTACCTTTTCAAGTGACCAGAAACTGCTAGAAGTAATGTCCTTCAATCCATGTATCCCTTAAACACAGGGATCCCTTACCCTGTACCTCCAAAGCCTACTGCAACCCTTGGCTGTGTAAGCCCTTACAAGTGGACAGACACACTGGACTACTTCGGTCTACCAAAAACATCTCATGTGTTGTCATGCAGCTTGTTGGCCACATTAAATCAATTATAATAACAATAATAATAATAATGAACTAAAGAGAATATTAAATTGTTAGACTCTAAACCAGTGTTACTTAGCTTGCCTTTAATCACAATGCAAAAATGCTGGTCTAAGAAAAATGGTCCCTACAACTGCTCAAACATGTTAGGGCTAAGTTAAGCTTTCTGGGCTGTATTAACTTTAAATGACTAAATACAAGTACATACCTGGTGAATTTGCCACTGAGTCAAAGTGACAGTTAGACAGTACAGCATGCTTGGCTCCACCTCGGGGCTCCAGCTTTACCACAACATTAGTAATGTTGTCATAGTAGCTTGTGAAACCCCCCAAGAAGTCAATGCTAAAGGAGCCTGTAGGATGTTGTATATCTACTGAAATGCTGTGAAGGCTGTTGCTTTGACCTTCTATCAGTGTGATCTGCTCCAAAAGGTATTGTACCGTCAGAATTTCATTTTCTGCACTTCCTGTAGTCCTGGGGCCAATGGCCGTTATGTGTTCCAGATAATCCCTGGAAACAATCAAAAGGATGGTGATGACAAACTCCTGCAAACTTAAAATCGACACATCTTGGAGCAACTTTCCACTCTCCTACCTCAGTAAGTTTAGTTCTTCTGACTTCTCACATTAAAACAAACTGTGACACCCCCACACACACCTTACCCTGGCACTCACTCACTATATAGGCCAGGCTGGCCTGGAACTCAGAGAGATCATCCTGCCTCTGTCTTCTGAGTGCTGAGACTAAAGGTACTCAAAAAAAAAAAAAAAAAAAAAAAAAAAAAGAAAGAAAAGAAAAAAAAATCAGACATCCCAAGAAAATTACCTGGAAGCTTTATCATTTTATATTGCATTCCAGGAACTAATAATGCTCCCAAACTTTCCTCCACTGACACCACATCAAATCAGAACCAAGACTAGAGCTTATAGTTAATATGTGTGTTTGCTGAAGGCTAGGCAGGACAACACAACTTCACAGGCCTGACTCCTAAGGCCAGTTATGGGTTGTTCTTTACTGGGTCTAACTGGCTGAAACCAATGAGTAAAACCACAAGATGAAATCAAGTAAACAAGACAAACCTGAAAGGAATAAACACAGCCTCTTGCTGTACACTCCGAACCTAATAGCTTCAGGCCAAAACTGACCCTACTCCAAAGCAGGGGCATCCTCTTTTCACTGCACTCCAAAGGGGGTGGGTGGGGGACAGAGGGGGGAGACTGCGGGTGCTGTCCAAAAAAAACCTTAAGAAAATACGTTTCCAACGCACTGCATCCAAAGAAGCAGCTTTTAAAACACAACAGTAGATGAAAACTTCCTGCTAGCTTAGTTTTTCTCTAGTCTAAGACACGAACTACAGTATCAAAGAGTTCACATTTCTAAGTACACCTGAGGTCATTTTAAAAGGTTAAACCCTTTGCCCAACACCTAGGAGGCAGAGGCAAGAGGATTTCTGCGAGTTTGAGGCCAGAGTGAGTTCTAGGAAGGCCTAGGCTACACGGAGAAACCCCGTCTCGAAAAAACAAAATAATAAAAATTAAAAAATAATAACGTCTTAAAAAATTAAAAAGGTTGAACCCTATGCAATCCGCAGTACAGAAGACCCACAGGACATCTGCGAACTCGAGAAACAGTAGGCAAAATTCTGAATGGATGTACCCTGAAGATCTCCATGGCTTTCGGATTGGGGGGCTGTGGTGCTTGGAAAGGCAGCGCACTGCGTTACCCCTCTCCAACACCATCCCAGAATGACTTTACAACGCAGCCTTGGCACATAAACCTCACTCTCCGCGTCATGTTAAATCCAGAGAACTAACCCAACTAAAAAGTGTAAGCGACTCAAGAAAGGAGAGTGGACGACAGGAGCGTGCAACCAGCCAATCCTTGCAGAGTGGATGATAAAGCAAACCCAGCCGACCTGACCACCCCTAGAAAGCGGAAGAGGGAGCCTGGCAAGCCCCGGGAACCCACAACTCAGACCCCAGAAGGACGCGCAGGGCCACCCCACTTCCCTCCACCTCCACCACCACCACCACCCGCCCCCCAACGTGCGCCCAGAGCCCCCGGGACTCGGCACACAGAGCGCCCGACTCGACTGCCTGGGGCAGCGTGACCCGGCGCTCCCCCACCCGGGGCTCCCCGCCTGGGGCCGCAGGGGACTCGCGGCCCGGCCGCTCGGCCGTACCTGGCCTGGCGCGCATCGAACTCGCCCTGGAGCCCCGCCGTCCGGCTCAGCAACAGCCGCTGCAGCGAGAGCTGCACGAGCGCCCGCAGCGCGAGCAGGTAGAGCGCGAACGCCAGCACCGTGCGCGCCTCGGACAGCGCGATCCCCGCGCCCCGGCTCGCGCCCTCGCTCTCCCTCCTCTTCCGCGTCCTCCCGTCGCCCCGCGAGTCCTCGGGCGCCGAGGCCCCCCTCTCCCGCCGAGGCTCGGCCGCCTGTCCCTCCCGGTGCTCCGCCGCGCCGCGGTGCCGCCTCACGGCCGCTGACTCCATCGCCGCAGCCGCCAGCCCCAACCGCCCCAGCCCGCGACAGCCCTGGCCACCGCGGCCGCCGCAGCGCCTCCTAGTGAGCGGACGGAAACTGCAGAGGGCCAAATTTCTTCTGATTGGCTGGTCCGCCTAGTGGCACGCGGCTGCCCGGACTCTGAGCGCTCTTTGGTGGCCGGGGCGGGACATGGTGGGTGTGCTCGCTCCCCAGCCTGGTGCCAGCACACTGTCAAATGGAAAAACCCCCATAATCCTAAAAATGAGCAGCCCCAAACAGGAGAAAAAAAAAAATACAAAACCGCTTTTTAACAGCCTGCACGAGCAATTTACCCTGCACTGGGCAGATAAATACAATGACTCGGCTTGCCTCTGAAAAGTAGGATTTTGGCTACCAAAACAGGAAATAAGACTTAACAATCAGAGTAGACAAACAGGCCTGTAATCCCAGCACTAGGAAGGATGGCCACAGGAGGATCCTATTTTGAGTTGAGAGTGGGAAGACCCTGTCTTAAAAAAGAAAAGAGAAAAGAAAAAAAGAAAAGAAAGAAAAAGTCTCTTGTCTAATCCCAGCAATCAGGAGAAATAAACAGGAGGACAAATTAGAGGCCTGCCTGGTCTACATAGCAAGTTCCAGGCCAGCCAGAGCTACAGAAAGAGAGAGGGAGAAGGAGGAAGGGAAGGAAAGAGGGACACACAGAAGCAGATAACCGGGGCTGGTGCTGTCTCCATTTAATAGATGACAAAATAATCACCATAATTTAATGAATGGCTGCTGAGTCAAGCCGTGTGCTAGGTACAGACTTTGAAAAGAAAATATTTTCATTCCTATTTAATAGCTGAAGAACGTAAAGGCAGCAAATGAAAAAGTGAGTGGGCTCCCAAGAGAGCTTTCTGTTCCACTGATACAGAGGGCACTCACTCTGGAAAACAAAGGTACAGAAAAGATGTTCCTGGGCCAGCAAGATGGATCAGAAGGTAAACGTACTTGCCCCCACCTTCCCCCAAAGCCTGACAACCTGAATGCCATGATGGGTGCCATGGTAAAAGGAGGAAACCGACTCCCACAAGGAGGTCTACTGACCTCCGTGGGTAGGGGCATCCTGTGCTGGTGCTCCCGGGTTCTATGAGAAAGCAGGCTAAGCAAGCCACGAGGAGCAAGCTAATGAGCAGTACCCTCCATGGCCTCTGCATCAGCTCCTGCCTCCAGGTTCCTGCCCTGTTTGAGTTCCTGTCCTGACCTCCTTTGATGAAGAACTGTGATATAGAAGCATTTGCCAAATAAACCCTTTCCTCCCCAAGTTGCTTTGGTCATGGTGTTTCCTCATAACAATAGTAACCCTAAGACACACAATAATAAAATAAAAATATTTAGGTACCCTAAAAATAAATAAATAATAAATGCGAAGTTGGTCAGGCAGTGGTGGTACACTCTTTTAATCCCATCACTTCGGAGGCAGAGGCAGGCAGATCTCTTGAGTTCAAGGCTAGAGTGAGTTTCAGGATAGCCAAGGAAACAGAGAAAAATCTTGTCTTGAAACAAACAAACCCACTTCCTTCAGTATTACAAAAAGTGGCAAGAAGCTGGTCATTGGTTTTAGTGGCCCTGCTAGCTGATGGGTCTTCTTGCTGCTTGCTGGTGCAGTGAGCCTCTTTGATTCAAGGTTCTGTGGCCCAGGCTTATAATGCCTGAAGCACCCTAAGGCATTAACTGAGGCCCACTGAGAAAACACACTGCAAGATTTTGATTGGGCATCCGTGTCAGCAATACACGGCCTCACCGTAACATCAGACACAGGATGCTCCGACAGTCACACTGGTCTCGCCTAAGGCGTCCAGTTCACCATCTTTTCTTTGCAATATCTCCTCATATACTAGCTAACACCCTTCAAATCTCAAAGAAAGTAATACTTCCTCAAGAAAGACTTTTTTAAAAAACATTTATTATTATTTACAGTGTTCTGCCTGCATGTGTGCCTACATGCAGAAGAGGGCACCAGATCTCACTACAGATGGTTGTGAGCCACCATGTGGTTGCTGGGAATTGAACTCAGGACCTCTAGAAGAGCAGAGTACTCTTGACCGCTGAGCCATCTCTCCGGCCCAAGAAAAGACTCTCTTAATCCAGCTAAGCCCACTTCCCCTAGTGTCTGCTATGATTTCATGTTTCCCTCACTGGACTGCAGGCCCCATGATGGAAGTGCCTTGGTTTTCTTCAGCACATTACTCACCTCTCCTAAGATGCAACAGAACATGTACTATAGGGTCATTATGTCCTGAGTAGGTGAAAACACAGAAGTTTCTGGAAGCACAGAACTTGTGTCCTATAAGATCCTTTCTAGTCTGTAAGCTCTATGAGACAAAGACAATGTCCATTTGTTTATTTATTACCTTAACCATAGTGCTTAGCTCCTGCAGTCTCTGGTCATTATCACTATATATTTACTGAATGGGAGAATGAAAATATATATTGCCTTCTATAAGAATCAGATATTTTTGCTATTTATTTTCCCCAAAGCCTAGACCCTCTATCATCTTTGGAAGAAGAGTTCTCAGAGTCAACGGCTGCATCTGATACAGTTATTTCAAGATAGGGAGGTTCTGCTGTCTTGTAATCAGAGGCCAAAGAAACCTGGTGTGCGTTTAGTTTTATGTCAGCTTGTATCCACTTAAAAGAGGGAACCTCAGGTGAGAAAATTCCCCCAACCAGTTCAGCCTCTGGGAAAGCCTGTGTGGTTCATTTCCTTGAGTGATGGTGAAGGAGGGCCCAGCCCATTCTATTTGGTACCACCCCTGGGTGGGTGGTTCTGGGGGTGTTAAAGAAAGTAGGCACTGAACTAGCCATACAGGACAAGGGCAGTAAGCAGCATGCCCCAATAACCTCAGCACTGGCTCCCCCCTCCAGGTTCCTGCCCTGAGTTCCTGCTCTGATTTCTCTCTGTGATGAAGTATGCTAATATTTCACCTGTAAGTTCAACCAAACCCTGTAGAAGTTTAAGTTGAAAAAAAAAAAAAAACCTTTCTTACCCAAGTTGCGATTGGTCATGGTGTTTGATCACAATAGAATCATAAATAAGGCACATGGGGAGAGAATGTTCCCTGCTGAGGGAACTGAGCAGTCTTCAGAAGCAACACAGAGTGAGTGAAAAGGATGCAAAAGCCAAGACAGAAATCCCAGCAATGACCTTGAATGCTGAGCCTCCTGTCTATACCACCCAAAAGGATTACATGTGCTATCACGCCTGTTTTATGCAACACTGGGGATCAGACCTGAGGCTTTGTCTTTTATGTAAGCATTCTACCAATTGAGTCACAACCCAGCCCAGCGATTTTCAAAATCAGACAGACAAAGCTATGTGAAAATGACTTCAGCATAGATAAGAAAGATCAAGTGACATAAAAATAAATGAATATAATTACAATGATTAAAGCTTCCAACGGACAGAGATTCTAATCCAAAAAGAAATGTAAAACAACAGAAATACTGCATATTTATTTCACAAAATTAACAACTTATAGACTTGAAAAACAGCCACAAAAAAAAGAAAGAAAGAAAGAAAGAAAGAAAGAAAGAAAGAAAGAAAGAAAGAAAGAAAGAAAGAAAAGAGAGTTTGGGAGATGGCACAGGACCTGAGCACAACCCCGCAGAAGGCATCAAAAGGCAGGCGCAGAGTGGCCTATCATCTCTGCGGTGGTGAGACAGAGAAGGGGACTCACTGGGGCTTACTGGCACTAGCTGAGCTTTCAGTGAGCTCTTTGTGCATGGTGAGACCCTGCCTAACTCACTCACAGGCACACACAACGAACAAGGAAGAAAAGAGAAAATAAAAGGCAAGTGACCCAACACTGGGACAGAATTTCCAAGCATAAAAACCCAAAGGATCCTATGTCTGATCTGTTGGTGGTGTGCAGACCAGTAAGAAAGACCTTAAGGTAAATATGTATCTACTGTTCATCCTTAGTATCAAATGAGAGATGTAGAAAAATCACCTACATTGAGAAGGTTATTTTGTAAATAACGGGCACTTCTGATAAGTTTCATTAATAGAACTTACATGGTGTTGGCAGGATATAAATTTTTGAGTAACTCTCCTGGAAAGCAATTATTTATGGTACACCAGGAGCCTTAAAAAAAAACCCCTCAGTTTTATGTTGTAATTTCTTACACGGAGATGTGTCAAAACATGACTTTTAAACAGAGAAATGAGCTGTGTGCGTGGGTGGTTTAAGACAATAATCCCAGTGTGGGAAGATTACCATGATCCTACATAGTGAGTTTCAGGCCAGCCTGGGCTACAGAGTGAAACCTTGTCTTCAAGGAAGAAAGAGAAGGGAGGGAGGGAGGAAGGGAAGGAGGGGGTTGGAGAGAGAAGCCAGCCAGCACTGCAAAACATTTTAAAATAGAAAAGTGACTTAGCATATTAGAGAGAAGAAAGGTCGAAAAAGTCAAAGTGTTCAGAGTTTGGAACAGGTAGATTTAAAACAACATTGCCAAGTCAGTCTCACATTGGACAGAAATGCTCACATTACAAATACTAAGACAGAAAGAGGAGACATCAGAACAACGATGAGTGCTCTCACTCAGCTGCAATAAAAGGTGAGCTTTTTCTTTTTCTTTCTTTCTTTCTCTACTTTGTTGTGGATATAAACATGTTTTTTGTTTTAATCCCAGGTGTGGGATGTGGGACTGATTCCGATAGACCATAACAGCAAACTACTTGCCTTGTGTAGCTTCTGAGAGGAGCTCTTTGCCAGCTACAGAGAGTTTAAATCTGAGGACGCTGGAAAGAATAAATGCCAGAGCCCAGAGTGTGTGGAGGAGCTCTCAGAAGGAACATGGCTGCTGCTTGCCCCCTGTGGCTCCTGTTGCTGTTGATGCAGTGAGACAAGAAGTTGGCGATCTCCTGAAACAAGGAGTGGACTGGCTCCGAGGACCCCAATGACCCTAACCAGCAGGAAGCAGCTATGAGAACTGTGTCCTCTCTTCCACTAACCCTTTCTCTCTCTGATCTGGTGT